TCCATATTAATGCAAAAAAAATGCTGGAAGTTCTTCAGGTACGAGAAGACTGAGGAAAATGTCATGGTCAGAACGGGATTGCAGAGCTGTGAGCAGGAAGTGGAGCCCCTGAGAGCTGAGGTTAAGATGAGTGGTCATGGTTGATGTAAAAATAGCAACCGAAGGAAAAAAGCTCAGCAGCTGGAGTTGCAGGAGAGCAGCAGTTAAAGTGCTGTCACATGGAAATAATGACCAGAATCAGTTGCTTCAAACATCTATTTACAAGGGGAGAGGTGCCAGTTCCATTACTGAGGTTCTGGAACAGACCACGGGTGTATTCTTAAGGTGTGTGCAAAGTGTAGGTAATGTTATGTTGTAAACCAAAGGAAATGGTGGCTTCAGCTCCAGGGCAAAGATTGGCAGATGGTGTTTGTTTAAGGACTATGTGTCTCCTGCCCCCAGGCTGTTGATACTCCACATTTTCACTTATTCCAGTTGAGGGCAAAGAGTGAAAGAGTGTCTTAGCAGCCACTTTGAGTCCAGGAGCAAAGTCGATGCTTCCCTTGAGGAGCAGTAGAGCAACAAACAGCTGGTTCTGTGGTGGGGTTCAATATGTTCTGAAGGGGATTGAGGGAATACACTTGGCCCCAAGGGATCCCTGACTACTCCATTACAGGAGAAATCTCCAGAAAACCCTTTATTGTTGCCTTATTATTATTTCTTTCTCTTAACTGCCCTTGGGACAGCTTTTCTTTTATTCTTCACAGAATCACAGCCTGGTTTGGGTGGGAAGGAACCTTAAAGATCATCCGGTTCTAACACCTTGCCTTGGTCAGGGACACCTTCCACTTATAGCCCCTTCCAGCCTGGCCTTGAACACTGCCAGGGATGGGGCAGCCACAGCTTCTCTGGGCAACCTGTGCCAGGGCCTCACCACCCTCATGCGGAATATCTTCCTAAGAGCTCACTGAAAAGAAATAATCACCTTGTTTAGAGGTTTAAGTGGAAATTGGGATTAAATGGAGGTGGAAAGCCACGAAGGCAGTGTGCTAGCCAACATGATGGCAGTGTGTAGAGTTTTACTTGCACAAAGTACAGAGCAAATCTTAAACCACAAAATGAAGCAAAAAATGTCAAAAAGATTCAGCAGTAAAGCAAGGTGTCTCCCCTGTGAGAAGCATTGAGAGGTTGGCTCCTTGTGTTAGCCGTGTACATGACAACGGGGAGCAGCTACAGGAGTTGTGCTTGTGTAAAGCATGTTTGATGCTCATTTAACTGGTAAACATTCAGTTGTGCTGGGGAAATCTGGAGTCAAACCATCCTAACACGACCTGTGTACCAAGAAAGGAGCAGCAGCAGAACTGGGAAGAGATGGCGTTGTCTATGATTTGGAAACAGTAGCACCAGTTTTCTCTCACCTTAAGTAGAAGGGCTCTGGTGTGGCGGCCAGGGATGGCGATTCCACCACTTCCCTGGGAAGCCTATTCCATGCAGATACCCAGCTTAAAAAAAAGATAAGTCCTTTTGGGTTTGTTTCTCATATAGAACCCTCTTTCCCATTCCACTGCTGCTGGTGGGAATTTTGCCCTTCATGAGCCTTTGTATAGCTCAGAATGATTAAACAAACAGTTTATGTGCAAGAGTCATTGTTCCCTTCACAAGATGTTGCTATGAACTTCAAAACCCGTTCTTTCTGAAGCTGTATTTAAACAGCCCTCATGGAAAAATACCACTAAAGCAAGGCAGCATGTTTTCAAGAAGGCCCCAGTGGTAGCAATGGGGTAGTCCTTCAGTGCAGTGTCTGCTGAGGTCCTTGGGAAGTTGAGGTTTGAAGGGCTGCAGAAACTTGACCTTCCTTACCTGAGTCTTTTCCCAGGAACACTTCTGGAAATCATGAGATTCTCTGAATTCCTCATTGGAAACTGTCTGAATTCCCTTATAGAAGGAAGAGGTTTTTTGTAGTCTTTTATTTAGTAAGACGCCTAAGGTGAGACTTTGTGTCCTTGCCTTGAGAAATAGCCTTCATGCATAGGGAAGTACAAGAAACTGTGTAGACTCTTCCATTTGTGCAGAGGGGAAAAAAATGCCAGATCCTTGGCAAGAGAGGATTTCCTTAAAGAGAGTTGCCAACACCATTTATTTTTAAAAAGCCTTAGGTGATGTTTAATGTGCAAATTAACAATAAAACACGCATTGAGGAATGTGTAAAGCTCACCCTGCTGTGTAGCACCTCGTCAGAAGTAGCAGTGACAGGAACACACCTGAGAATAGAACAGTTTGAGTCTGAAGAGCCCTAAATGGTACAAACAAGGTCAGGAAGTCGCACGTGAGGCTTTTCTGCCCTTCCTGGTTTAACTAGGATGGGTTGCCGTCTGAAGCATCCTCTCCCATTCCCTTCTCCAGTTTGCAGACTGAGAGGTCTGGCATTTTGTGATTAATGCCGATAAAAGATTATTTCTCCTCAAAGTTTCTCTGAGCTTCTCCCTCTCTCCACCGGATGCAGATAAAGGGTCTCATCCTGTGTGTTCACTTGGTGCCTCATGGGCTGTGGGTGCTGCCATCACACAAATAAAGACAAAACTACAGAAAGAGAGGCCTGGTACAAGTACTTTTTGCAAAGGGATCATCTTCCCTTCTTTGTCTGGATTTTTAGTCAAAGCAACCAAAAAAAGAGCCCTTTCCCAAAAAGCTCCACCTGCCGTTGGGGAGGTTTGGTTTTATCATGTTTATTGTGTGTAGTTTCCACTCTACCCCGTTACATCCCATCCTGAGCAGATCCAGGCCCTGCCCACACATTCCATACCCCAGGTGCTTCCCACTGCCCCAGTTTGGAGCAGAACTGGAACCAAGTGTGTAGCAGGTGCCTGGGAGACACGGAGCAAATCTGGTGAGCAACGGGTTCCAAGTGAAGGGAGGGCAGGGATTCCTAATGTGGCGGCTCCTTATGCTGGAGCCACCGGTGGAGGAAGATGCTGCAGGTGCAGGGACTTTACACTGGTTCAGAATTGGCTGGATAAATTCTGCTACCCAGATCCAGAGGGAAGGTGGGAGAGCAGCTGGTCCCCATCCCTCCACAGTAGGGACAGCAGTGACTGTTGTCAGGAGCTGGCTCCTTCCCATCGAGATCTACTGGTTGCCAGGTGTGGTGTGAAAAAAAACAGTGAACAGCCTTGATTTGCTGGTTTCCCAAAGGAACAAGGCTTCCATGACTGTGCTGTGCCTGTCTGCTGGTCCCCATCACCAAACACTGTCCCCTACAGCCCTCCTGGTCCCTGCTGTGCCAGGGGTGCTGTGTGCCAAAGTCCCGGCGAGGGGGTACAGCCAAATCCTGGAATCTTTGGGACCAGGGTGGAGAGGGCAGTTCAGGACAGCAGCCCCTCTATGTGCTCTTTGGTGTTCTGTTTTACCAAAGACCATTGTTTCCCACTCCCTACTTTTAATTGCACCAAGAGACTGAGCTCCCTGAATGCTGCTTTTAGGCATTCCCTTTGGGGTCCCCATCCCACCTCAACCAGCGCTGGGAGCTCCCCAGGCCCTGTGGGGCACCACCAGCTTGTACCCTCGGTCCCAGGAGACACGCTTGCCACCCCCAGTGCTTCTCCTGCTTCAGGCTCTGGCGGGTGCCAGCGGCTGTGGCTCAGCCCTGGAAGCCAGGATGGTGTTGGGCCATGGGAAGGAGGCACAGGGGTTTTAGGGACCTTCAGGTGCCTGAGCTGGAGGAGACGCAGCACTGGAAGAGATGCAGGGGCCATCCCATCTTCAAGTGAAATGGCTGCTCGGGCTCCTGTGATGCCTGCTCAGCCCGTTAACCCTTCTCGGCCCACCGCCCTCTCTGCTCAGAGGCTGGGATGAGCCTCTCCGTGTCCTGTGGAGGGGAGCCCCCTCTGTGCCAGCCCCTATGCCCCTGAAACATGAGCTTTCCCTGGGAGGTTTCCATGAAGGCAGGACCCTAACGCTTTTCCCTGATCTGACACTGACACCAGCCCCTGGAACTTAGACTGAAAAGTCCCAAGGTTGGGGTGAGCTGGGGGGGGGGGGGCCCAAAACCAGAACATCCCCACACATGGGTCCCACATCCATCTCTGGCCAGGGCAGGGGTCCTGCCTGCAGTGGCTGTGTGTTCCTCTGCTCACACCAGGCCCTCAACCTGCAGCCCTCCGTGTGTCACCGGGTGTTTGCTGGATGGAGAAGGGGGGTCCCAGCAGCACAGTGTCCCCAGGGGTTAGAGGAACACCACCTTGCCCAACCTGCCACCTGCAGGCTGTCACCCTGGGGTGCTGGCAGGGATGCAGTGCCCAGCTGCATCCAGAGGAGGGTAGCCCGGGGATTTGGACTCAGGACACCCACCAGGCCACCGTGCTGGTGCTGATACCAGAGCTGCAGCTGGTGCTGGTGTCAGGGCAGAGGCTTGGTGCCAGTACCTGGGCTGGGGCTTGGTGCTGGTGTTGATGCCAGCAGCAGCACCAACATTTGGCACCAGTGCCAGTGCCAAGGCTTGTTGCCAATGCTGGTAACAGTGCTGAAACTGGTGCTGATGCTGATACTGGTGCTGGGGCTTGGTGTCAGTGCTGGTGCTCATGCCGATGCTGCTGCCAACACTGATGCCTGTGCCAACACTGGTGCCAATGCCATCCCCATGCTAGTGCTGATACTAATGCCAGTGGTATTGCCAGTGGTGGGGCGGTGGCTGCAGTGGTGCCAATGAATGCTGTGCCCGTGCTAATGCCGATGCAGATGCCCATGCCACTGCCGATACCAACGCTGATGCTTCCACAGGTGCCAATGCTGAATCCGTGCTAGTGTCAATACTGATGCTGGTGCTGGTGCCAGTTGCAGCAATGGTGCCGACGCATGCCCGTGCTAGTGCCGACGCTGCCTTCGGTGCCAGCGCTGCCTTCGGTGCCTGTGGCAGTGCTGGTGCCGGTGCCAGGGTGCCCGTAGCGCCGGCAGCAGCAGCGGTGTCGGGGCTGCCGGGTGTCGGTGCCGGTAGGCGGCAGTGCTCCGCGCTCGGCGCCGCTCCCCCGCCCGCTGCCGCGAAGCCCGGCGGAGGCGGATGCAATTCCCCGGCTGCCCCTGGCTCCTCGGCGGGGCGGCGGGGCCCGGCCCGCAGCGCGCAGGCACCGACAGCGGCTCCAGTCCCGGCCCCGCTACCGGCCCCGGCGCGGAGGCGGGCGGCAGTGCGGCCCCGCTCCGCTCCGCGCTCTCCCCGCCGCGGCCCGGGCCCAGCCGCCGGGGCCCGGCCCAGCACCGCGGGGCCATGGCCGAGTGGGCGCCCGCCCAGGTAAGCGCGGCCCGGACCGGACCGGGGCATCGGCACCGGCACCGAAGGCGGAGCCGCTCTCCCCCCGCGCCGCTCCCCGCCGCCGCCACGGGCCTGACCGGCCGGGACCCCCCGGCCCGCGAAGCCCCGGCCACCCCGTTCGCTCTCCAGCCCCGGGCCGCTCGCGGAGACCTGTCCCGGGATGCTCCGGTGCCCCCGCGATGTCCCCGGGACCGGCCCCAGGATGTGGCTGGGCGCCTCCGACCCGGGATGTCCCCGTGCCCGCGGGATGCCCCGGGGATACTTCACACAGGCTCCAGCCCCGGGATGCCCTCAGCACCCCTGACCCGGGATGTCCCCGTGTGTCCCCAGGATGTCCCCGGGCACCCGCGGTCCAGGCTGCCCCGAGCCCCCGGCCCCATCCCGAGGGGATTCTGCCTGATGGGAGTCAGCAAGGGGTGGGGGCTGGGGGTTGCTGGGGTGGGGTCCTCTGCCTTCATAGGATGGTGATGGTGCTGGCCAGTGCCCCACGGGGACAGTTACCGGTGCTGACCCCGTGGTCACTCTGCAATCTCTCCCTCACCTACTGGTCGAGCAGAGCCCAGCCTTGTCTGTCCCTCACCATCCCAGTCCTGCTCCATCCATCTGCCCTGTCGCCTTCTGGTGCATAGACTGGGTCCCAGCAGCTCCTTCCTTGCCTGGGCAGCACCAACCAACCACTCTAAGGGGTCAAATCCTGCTCAGTCAAATAGCTGATTTGGGATACACAGCGGTGCCTGCAGGGCAGGTCCCTAGGGTGGCCGGGGCTGGGGGAGATGGGGGCGGACCCTTCCTGCAGCCAAGGAGGGCAGGGTGAGGATAGTGCTGCCGGCTTTGGGCAGTGGGTGGCCCAAATCAGCCCGAAATCAGGCACAACCTGGTGAGGGGGTGACCATGGGCCCCCTCCCACCTGCGCCCTCCCCACATCCCAGGTGCAGGAATGGAATGTGGAGGCCCCCCACCTGATGCCGCTGCAGCCACCGCTGCTGCCGGAGCGGGCACACGTACGAGAGGCGCAGCTCCACTCTGCTGAGGCCTCCCTCTGGACCGTGGTGGCCACGGTGCAGGCGATGGAGAGGAAGATCGACCTCCTCGCCACCCGCCTGCTCAGCCTGGAGGGTCGGTCCGGCACAGCCGAGAAGAAGCTCCTGGACTGCGAGAAGACAGCCATGGAGTTTGGGAACCAGCTGGAGAGCAAGTGGGCTGTGCTGGGCACCCTCATCCAGGAGTACGGGCTGCTCCAGCGGCGCCTGGAGAACGTGGAGAACCTCCTCAAGAATAGGAACTTCTGGGTGCTGCGGCTGCCCCCTGGCCCCCGGGGCGAGGTCCCCAAGGTAATGGCTCTTGGGGGGGTTGTGGGATGGGTACACTCAGAGCCCCAGGGGAGTGGGTGCTGCTGAGCTGCCGGGGGCTTATCCCTGCAGGTGCCGGTGACGTTTGTTGACATTGCTGTCTACTTCTCCGCGGAGGAGTGGAAGAATTTGGAGGAGTGGCAGAAAGAGCTGTACAATAACCTGGTGAAGGAGAACTATGAGTCTTTGATCTCCCTGGGTAAATATCCCTTCTCACCCCTTTCCCAGCTGCATCAACACAAAAGGTTCTGGATGCGGGTGCACGAGGATGGGATGATGTGCTGTGCTATGCCGGGACCGCCACGTGGGGCAGCCTGTGCTGCCTGTCCCGAGGGTGCTGCAGTGGGTTCTCCTCCCCCAGAATCAGTGCTACCCAGGCCTCCAGCATGGAGGTCCTGCTGAATTCGGGCAGGTTCTCTGCCCGTCGGCATGGGGAGGGTGGGTTGGGTGCAGCCCCTCTGCTGCTGCCATCCGTGCTCTCCCTTTGTGCAGATGGTGCCCTCTCCAGAAGTGAGGCACAGCCCCGCAGTGAGCGCCCAGAGGGACCTTGTGTCCCTGAGCAGAGGGACCTGGAGCAGAGGGAGCTGCCAACAGATGCCTGCGCGGGTGAGACACCAGCCCCTGGCCTTGCTGCCTCCCAGCTTATGTTTCCCTCTTCCCACTGCTTGCGTCCTTCTCCTTTTCCTGGTGGTCCCAGCCCTTCAGGCCCAGTTTCCAAGCTGCGGCCAGACTCTGCTCCCTGCTGTGTGACCAGGGGCCACCAAGAGTAACTGGAAAATCCCCTGTGACTGATGTGCCGGGGATCTTGGGCATCCATCACTGGGAGATCCATGTGTTCCCCACTGCCACCACATCATGTCAGAGCCCATGGGCTGCATCGCAGGCACCTGTCCCTGTTGGCTGTGCTGTAGTCACCCATCCCCAAGGGCTGTCCCACAGTCGCCCATCCCCATTTGCTGTGCCATCATCACCCATCCCTATGGGCTGTCCTGAGGTCACCCATCCCCACAAATCCCCCAGGGGTACTTGGTGCCAAATAACTGCTGTGGGATAGGGATATCCGACTTGGCCAGAGACCAGGATCCCACATCCATGATGTATTGGTCATGGGTCACGCTGGGTGGCTGCATCTTGGCACTGGCCAAGTCTCTCCTTGTGAGCAGAGTCGCTGATCTCCACCTCCGACATCCTGTCCCGGATCAAACAGGAGGTGGCCTTCGTTGGGGAGCAGCAGTTCACAGAGGAGCGGGCGATGCCGGCAGACCCCTGTGCAGGTGAGGCCGGGGCTGTGCCACACACCTACCAGCTGTCCAGCGCCAGCAGCAGCCACTGCTTTTCGGAGCCGCTGCCTCTCTCAGCCTGCCAGGTGCAGGATGTGTCTGAGTCCCTGTCCCTGTACTTCCCTGCAGGTGCAGATGCCCTGATCACTGCCCATGACTTCTTGTCATGGATCAAGCAGGAGGAAGAGCCTTGCGTCCGCGAGCCCTGGGAGCTGCCAGAGAGGGAGATGCTGACAGGCCCTGGTCCTGGTGAGTGATGCTGAGTCCAACTCCCTGGGGCTGGGATGGGGCTGGGAACGTCCCTGGTGTCCCCAGCAGCCACTGACTAGGGTGATCCCCTCTGCAGCTGGTGATGGGCTGCTGGTGAAGACAGAGGAGCGGTGCCCCCACGCTGAGCCCCCCGATGACGTGGGTTTGCCGGGCAGCTCTGGGGAACTGCTCTTCCCCAGCACGGGCTTTGGGAACCCTGAGGGACAGGCAACGGTGACACCAGCTCCAGCAGTGGCTCTGCCAGCACAGCACAGACTGGGCAAAGCTCCGGGCTCAGAGCCGGGGCCGGGAGCCGAGGCAGCGGGTCCCACTGCGACACCGGGACCTGCCGAGGAGCGGCCGCACGGCTGCACCGAGTGCGGGAAGAGCTTCAGCGGGAAGAAGAGCCTGCGGATCCACCAGCGGAGCCATGCGGCCGAGCGCCCCTACCCCTGCGCTGAGTGCGGCAAGAGCTTCAACTGCCACTCAGGGCTGGTGCGGCACCAGATGATCCACCGCGGCGAGCGGCCCTACAAGTGCACCGAGTGTGGCAAGTGCTACAGCCGCAAGGAGCACCTGCAGAACCACCAGCGCCTGCACACGGGCGAGCGGCCCTTTGCCTGTGCCGCCTGCGGCAAGAGCTTCATCCGCAAGCAGAACCTGCTCAAGCACCAGCGCATCCACACCGGAGAACGGCCCTACCAGTGCCCGGCCTGCGGACGCAGCTTCCGCTACAAGGAATCCCTCAAGGATCACCAGCGGGTCCATGGGGCCGAGGCGGGGGCCCCCCCGCTGCCACCCTCTGGCATCATGCCCCCTGGGGACTAGGGGCTGCTCTGCCACGGACTGACACCCCCCAGGATGGGGCAGGCGCTGGCCACGCAGCTTCCTACCAAATAGAGGTGCCCGGCCGGAGCGGGGGCACATGGGGATCCCCGGGGCCAGCCCCTGCTATGGACGGACGCTCTTTGGCCCCCACTGCTCCCCGCACCGGACAATCCTGCTGCACAGGATGGGGAGCAGCCCCCTGCTGTGCCCCCCCATTGCCAGCCCCCCGCCTGCTGCTCTGCTCCCTCGGCCCCTGCTGCTTATTTTTACTGCCCCCCGCCCTGTGCCATCCTGCTCTGTACAGTGCTTGGGGTGTAGTTTTGTATGGACAATGCGCTATGGAATAAAGTCATGCTGGGCTGCAGCACCTTGGCCCCTGGCCCTGCGGGGTTCCCCATGTCCCTCAGGCCTTGTGGCCATGCTACTGCCACATCCCTGTGGTCCTGCATCCTGGGCAGGCAGTGGCAGTGCCTGCAAGATTGGTGATAAGGAATGGGAGGAAATCATGGCTCAGCACGGGGCATAGGGCAGTGGGAATGGCAGCACCACAGAGCCAAGGGGCATGGTGGCTTCCTGATGCTCCTGTGTCTCCAGCCACTGTGGCCTGGTGCTGGCAGAGCGGGAAGTGCCTGCACCCACGGGTGAACCTGCAGGGAGAGGGAAGGACAGGCAACCGTGCTGCAGGGTGCCTCTGTGTGTGTCTGCACACACCAGCCATGGCTGTACAAAGGCTGCTGGATGCAGCCGTGCGCTCTGGGGCCATGGGTCCTGGGTCTCCCCAGTGGCTGCAGCCCCAAACCCTTGCTCCACCCCCCTGCCTCATCAGACCCTTCTCAGCATGTCCAGCTCCCAACATCTCTCGTTTTTCCTGCCTTTCTGTGAAATCTATGGGCCTGTGGCCCACGACCCAGCATCTCCTCCCTGTGCCTCCACACCCTGCTGCAAATCATTTCATTAACTAGTAAAACAACCAGGTAGCAATGTCCTGCTCATTCATGCCAGCTGCAGCACAGGCAGCACCCCTGCCTTCATTTTAACCAGCTGAATCCCAGCCCTGGGGTCCTGCCCACCATCACTAAACTGCTCCCAGGTCCTCCCGTCCATGATTTGGGTCACCCTGGGGAGTCCCAGCCAGAGCCTGGTGACCCAGCAAGTGCTATGGCTTTGGCCAGTACCCACAGTGCCACCCTCCCTGTGTGGCTGCACCCCCTGCTCTGTCCTACTTGGGTGGCAAAGGAGCTGCCACCAAGCAGGGTTGTGGCTGTGGGTCCCCACATACTGTAGATGGGTGGGAGCATTAGCCCAGGGTGGCCTTCTAGCTGTGCTGACACCCTGGTATGGGCTGCAGCCAGAGCAGGAGAGAGGATGTGAGGGGCTGGAGCTCCTGGGGGACTCTACATGCTCTTAGGGGACACTGCTCGCTCCCTGGGGACACATGCCAAAGGGGCCATGCATGATGCCAGGGACCCTGCAAACTCCCTGGAGACCATGCACACTCCCTGCAACCTTGCACATTCCCTAGGGACCCTGTGCACTGCTTCATACCCTGCACATAGCAGGGGACCTTGCATGCTGCCCCTGAGCCATACATGCTGTCACCCCACCCCAGAGCCACGCAGGCAGCGGAGGTTGCCAGGTCCAAGCCCAGGCAGCACAGGTCCTGTTCTCAGCCCTCATCTGGGGTGCTGGCTTCCCCTGAAGGTGCCCCTGAGCCCAGAATTGCTTGCCCCACTGTAAGTCCCAGTACTGGCTGTGCACGGTAGGGTGATGGAGCAAACTATTCCGTATCACTGCAACGCACTGTGGCCAGCTCACCAGTCAGGGCAGCCGAGGCAGCAGAGTGCCGGCAGCACCAGGGACTGGAGCAGGGAGAAACCTCAGGCAGGCAGTGCATTAGCAGCATGACACAGCAGCCGAGCAGCACCAGCACAAGGGAGCAACGACCGGGGTAATGGAGGAGGCTCTGGAAGCTACACAGGGAGCCGGGATGGGACAGGAACCACATTGGGTGCTGTGGGGAGGGCAGGTAGGGGTGCCCCCATGGGCAGCAGCAGCTGCTCCCACAGGGATCAGGATGGGCTGGGGTGGAGGACAGGGGGAGCATGTGGCCCCTCACCCCTGCGAAGGGCTGCCTTCACAAAGGCAGGATTAATCCTCAGGTGTCCCTCACTGCAGCTCAGCACCCAGCATACCTCCTGGGCTGAGATGGGAGCACAAAGGCTTGTGGAGGGGGGCAGCAGGTCCTGCTCACCAGGCCCCTCCTCACCACACCACCCCTGCCCTGAGCTCACACAGAGACAGCTTTTCTGTTTTTTTGGGCTTTTTTTTTTTTAACAGAAGTTTATGGTTATATGCAAATTAGGTCATTAAATGATTTGCATAAAATGTTCGCACATCAGCGACTAAGTGTTCCTAACTCCCCACCCCCCGAAGGTAGTAATCCTACTCGACTAGCGCTGTCACACGCGTGGCCCCGCTGACCCCTGTGCGTGTCTCCCTGCTCGCTCACACATGCCCCGTGCTCAGCGGCCCTGCTCTGGGCCGCTCACGCAGGCAGAGCCATGGTCGCAGGCACGGGCCGGGCACACACACACCCGTTTACCACGCACGCGTGTATCCACACTTCCCTCCCCGGGCACCGGTCGCCTGTGCCCCCTTGTGCCTTCCCCATGCTCACAGGGAGGACCCAGGCGCCCTGCATGCCTCCTGTGAGCCAGGCAGGTCCCTCGCACACCGCTCCCCACGCGCACGCCCCACTGTCCGTGGCTGGGCACCCGCCGCGCAGCCAGAGCCCCGCAGGCACAACCATGTCCTTGGTGGAACGGCGTCCCCGCCCGTCCCTAGCTGTTGGTGAGGAAGAGCCGTCTGTGTCTGGAGGCAGAGCCGCGTGGCCGGCCCCGACGCCGGCCCCGGCCCCGGTTCCCAAAAGGGCTTCTGCTGGGCACGGTGGTCTCTCCCCAGCTCGTGCTCCCGGCCTGCGGCTCAGGGAAGCTGGGCTCAGCTTTGGGCTGCTCGAGGAGAGGGCTGGGGTCCGGACGGGGCTCGGGTGGCGGCGCCTGGTTCTGCCGGGCGCTGGCCCTCTCCTGGCGCAGGTAGCGCAGCTCGTCGCGGATGTCCGTGAGGACGCCCAGCAGGCGGAACTGGAGCTCGCGGTCGCGGGCCCTCTCCTCTCGCTGGGTGGCCCGCTCCTCCTGCCACATGGCCAGCTCCTGGTGGTACAGCTGGTCCCACTGCTCCTCCAGGTCCAGCAGGTGATGGATGTTAGTCCTCCAGCTCTCCCGGCGGTCCTCCCGCAGGCGGGAGCACCCCAGGCCACGGGGTGGGCCAGGGGCAGCAGGAGCATCCCCTGGGGGGGAGGCGGAGGAGGGCAGCGACTCCTCGGTCAAGGCGCCGTGCAGCGGGGAGCGGGCCGGGGGCTCCTCCTCTGCCGCTGCCTTCTCCCAGGTAGGCCCCATCAGTACCCTGGGCAAAGCGCCCATCTCCGGTCCCGGGCCCCCCGCCTGCTCCTCAGGGTGTGAGGAGTCGAGCCCGCGGCCCAGGGGGGGCAGGTCGGAAACTCCCTCATGGCCCCAGTCTGAGTGAGCATCTACGGGGTTGAGAGGGTCCTCAGGCAGGGAGGTGACAGAGCCCTGGGAGCTGCACCTGCGGATCAGCATGGCCTGGCGGGACAGTTTCATGTCTTCCTCTGCAGACATGGGGGCCTCAGGCCCCGACTGCATCCCCACGGCCCCGCCGTGGACTCTCTCCACCTCCCGGCCTTCCCGTTCCTCCTCCTCTGACATGGAGGCGTAGGAGACCAGGGACTCGTTTCGCAGGGACGGGGAAATGGCTGACACGTCTGGAGTCCGCAGCTCTGGTCCCGACTCGGCTGGAAGAGAAGCCTTACGGTGAGCCCCAGCTGCTGTCCTGGCCCCCTGCCCCTCCCTAACGCACGGACACCCTCCTCATGGACATCCCTGGTGGACACAGCAGGCCAATGTGCCCCATCTGCACAGCTCTCACCCTCCAGCTTTGCTCACCCCTGCCCTGAGTTCCCCAGGTCGCTGTGTGACACAAGGATGGCCATTGCCTTTGCCTTCCCTGGGATTTGTCACCTTCTGCCACTGAAAAACCACTGGCGGTTACAAAACCATGCTTCAGGTTCCCCGTTATGCATCCACAGCCCTTTGGGACTCACAGACCAACCACACAGGCTGGGCAGGCACAGGGAAGTGTCTCCAATCGGAGTGTCCCCCACTACGACACCACCAGTGCCACACCGAGGGCTGCATCCAGCCCCACGAGCAGCACTCTGCCGCACCAGGACCCAGCAAACCACCACCAGAGCCTTTTACCTCCCATCCAGACAGACCCAGTGCCCTCCCTCCACTGCAGCAGCCCATCTCCACTGCAGCCTTACCCGAACTGCTCTGTCCCTCCCCTCGGCTGTACTCGCAGATGACGGAGGGGTCGGGGCTCTGCACCGCCAGCCGGGGCACAGCAGAGCCCTCCACGTCCGGCAGGGATGAGGGCTGCCCGTTGGTGTCAATGTAGATGCTGGGATGGCTGATGCCAGGCTGCAGGTGCATGAAGGACTGCTTGGTCGCGCCGGGGAAGAACAGATCTACGCGACAGAGAGAATCCAGCCTCAGCCACTGTGCTGATGGCACTGCCAGTTCACGTGCCCCCACAGAAAGGCGGATGGGGCTCCCCAGGAAAGGGTCCCATGGGAATCTGCACGGGAATGATGCTGCATGGGGGACACGGTCGCACTGAAGCACAGACGCTCCTCCTGTGAGGCTGGCCCACCCTATCGCTCACTCTCACCGCTCTCAAGACTGTCCTAAACTTGCCCAGCTCTGAGGGTCTTGGCATCCGCTAATGTCCTGCAGGACTTCTGCCTCCAGCCCAGAACCCTTCTGCTCTGCAGCAAAACAGGCATCTGGTTCAGACACAGTCTGAGCCTGAACCGAGTGGAATGAGACCCACACTGCCCACTCTGCCCCCAGTGAAACCTGTTGGGCCAAGATGAAATCAAAGAGCAGAGGAAGAAGCAGGGTGGTGAGACACTGGAATAAGTTGCTTCAAGAAGCTGTGGCTGACCCACCTCTGCAGTGTCCAAAGCCAGGTTGGACAGGGCTTGGAACAACCTGGTCTAGTGGAAGGTGTCCCTGCCAATGGCAGGGGACTGGAACTGGATGAGCTTTACGGTCCCTTCCAACACAAACCACTCCAATTCTATGATTCTATGACAGCTAATCCTGGTGTCCTCTGGGGACACAAGTCAGACATGTCCCCTCTGTGGAAATGAAAGGGCATGGGTGGGTTTGGCCTCCTGGCCAGTAACAAAGCCCAGCTGGGGTGTAACCATGGGCCCAGCTCAGCACTACTGCAAGACCAGTGTTGGGTCTTGGATAAACATTTTCCCCCCCAAATACCTCTCAGGCATTTGAGCTAAACAGGCATTACCCAAGAGCAGGACCAGCAAGAAGGTTCTGTGCTAGGCTGAGATGCTTGCTCTGCCAGTGACAGAGGGGTCAAGGGCACGGCCCCAGTAGGAAGGCATAGCCCTCCCAGCGACCCACCACTCCCCCCAGCCATGCATGGCATCTGGGTGCAAGATGCTGTGGGAGGACAGAGGGACTCTGCACTGAAGCAAATGCTCCCACTCCCTCTGACCTCAGCTACTGATGGGGGACACCGACCCTGACAGGAAAACAGGAAATAAAATCCCATCCCATCTTTTACCAGCTGCCTTTAGATGGTGTCCAGCAAGGCCAGGCACTGCATCAAAGAAAGAAAAAAAGACAACCAAAAAAGACCCACTCCCACAAAGTTTGAGGTGTTCCCGTTGATCCCAGGTTATTTCCACAGTGTATTTTGAATTCCGGCACACACAGTTTTTAGCCTTGGTAGTTTGCTACGCAGACATGATAGGACCACAGCCTTGCAGATGCTGTGATCACAATATAAACCACATAGGAGGGCAAACCCCAAAAGACTCCTTCCACAGAAGGGAGCACAGAATGCAAACAGCCAGCAGACCCCAGAGTTGAAGATGACTGTGCCCTGGTGACATTACCAGACCAGATGTCACTCAGAGGGACACAGCACAAGACTCTTCCTACTCCAACTCTCCTCTCCCCAAAGAACCACCACGACTGACCTGGGTCCAAGATGATTTCGGGCTCCGAGTCGTGGCTGGCCTGCAAGAAGGTAGAAGCCACCATCTTCTCCAGGGGCGTGAGACGTGGCTTGTGGAGTGGCCCACCAGCACGGTTCATGGGCAGGTGCTTCTTGGAGGTGATCTTCTTCTTGACGTCCAGCCGCAGGTCACGCCACTTGTGCTTGAGGTCGTCAATGGAGCGCTCGGTATAGCCCAGGAAGTTGACGCGGCTTTGGATTTGGGTCCAGAGCTGCTTCCGCCGCACCGGGTGAGCCCGCAGGGCTTCAGACCCATACAGGGCGCTGAAATGCCGGACCACATTCCAGACCAGCGTCTCAGTCTCGTCATTGGAGAAGTTGGCCTTCCTCTTCCGGCCAGACGCTGGCATCGCCTGCGAGGCTGCGGCAGAGGTGGAAGGGGCACAATTGAACCTCGGTCCCCACTCCTCTCTGTCAGCTCCTGGGGGGAACATGGGGCTGCGGGAGCCCGAGGGAGCCGCGGAGGAGGGAGCCGAAGCAAGAGCCCCCGAGGCATCCATGGCAGGGGAGGCTTGGGCCAGGGAGGATCTAAAGAGCCGCTTCGACACACCACGCGGCACAGGGGCACCTCATCCCCTTGCCCCGGCTCGAGAGCACCTGGGAGGGGAGAAAAGGAAAGGGCAGCGGTGGGTGGTGGCAGCGTGGGGTGATGGCAAGGGCCCCCAGCCCTCTCCAACCAGAGGCACCCAGGGACCCCCAGCCAGCTACCATGGGAGCCACAGAGAGGGTCATAGCCATGACACAGGCTATGGCAAGCACCTCAGCCACAGGTGCCCCATGTGCTTTGGGGCCATGGCAGGTGGCTCAGGGCCACAGAGAGGGTGCTGAGGAGCACCTCGTGGCCAGGCTTAGGGTGATGGGGAGTGCCTCGAGGCCACAGTGAGGGGCATGTGGCCATGCTGACAGCGATGGGGAGCGCCTCTGGTTGCATGGTGAGTGTCTCCAGGGCAGGGTGAACACCCCAGGGCCACGGCAGGAGCCACAGCAACAACTTCAGGGCCATGGCTATCGCCTCTGGGCTGCAGTGAGCCTTGGTCGTGGTCAGCACCTCAGGTCTACAGCAAGCGCCTCGGCACCATGGCAAGGGCTATAGCTATGGTGGAAGCACTAGGGCTGCAGCATGAGACCTCAGGGCAATGGTGAAAGCTTTGGCCATGATGAGCACTTTGGGTTTCCAGCTACGGCTTTGGGACCATGGCACAGACCTTGGCAACAGGATAGGTCTAGGGGCCATGGCAAAAGCCTTTGCCATGGTGAGCATCTCAAGGGCATGATCAAGACTTTGGCCACGATGCAGGCCTTGGCAAAGGTCTTGGCCATGGTGAGAATCTCAAGACCCCATTGAAAACCTCAGGTTCCTGGTGGGGACCTTGGAGTCTTGGTGAAGTTGCTGGCCGTGGTGAGCACCTCAAGGCCATGGCAAAGATACTACAGAAAGCCTTGGTCATGGTGAACATCTCAAGCTTCCACTGAGGCTCTTTGTCCCATGGAAAAAAAACCTTGACTACAGCAAGTGTTTCAAGGCCATGGTGAAACCCTGGGCCATGGCAAATAACTCAAGCTCTCACAAGGACTGTGGGACCATAGCAAAGCCCAAGGCCACATCAAGTGCTCCAAGGCTATGGCAAAGACCTTGGCCATTGTGAACACCTCAAGCTCCAAGAGCTTCAAGATGCTGGCAAAGGCCGTGGTGACCACAGTGCATGTACTGGGCTCACAGCAAAGCCCCCAGCAATGGTGACCACCTGGACACCATGTCACAAGGCTCCTGGCCATGGCTCACCGCAGTCCTGGCCCCACTGCTCCCCTCATCCCCCAGCACCATGGCAAACTCCTCAACCACCCTCAGCATCTCCAGGCCGCACGGACAGCCCTCCATCAGCCACCTCGGGGCCCTGGCTGAATACCTCAGAACCGCAATCACCCTCCCCTCAGAGCAGAGGCCTCTCCCCAATCAGACGCGGGATGCCCGGAGTGTGGGGGGGGCAACCGGTACCGGCTGCACCCCCGGGGCAGGGCCGGGCCCTTCGGCGGGTGGCTTTTGTTCGCGCTTCCGCCGGGCACCGGGGACAAAGGGGCCGGGGCCTGCCCTCCGGGGAGGAGGTGGGGGGAGCCGGGGGGCAGGCACCGGCCCTGGCCACAGGCCTTCCACCCCCCTCCCTCAGCACCCCGCGGGGCAGGACGGCTGCGCCTACCTGTGCCGGGACGGGCGTGCGAAAGGGGGGAAGGGGGGGTGGGGAGCGGGGAGGGGAGCCGGCGGCGGCGGGGCCGGGCTCGGCGGGGGGCTCAGCTCCGGCGGCGGCGGCGGGTAATGGCTCCCGCCTCGGCGGAACTCGCCTTCATTTCCTCCGCCTCCGAGCGGCGCGGCGCGGCGCGGCGCGGGCCCTGCGCGCCACCGCCCTTGGGCGCCGCCTGGCGGCACCGCGGCGCGAAGCGGAGCGCCGGCGAGTTACGCGGGGTTGCGGGGGGGGGGAAAGCGGGAACACCACACAGAAACACCCGTGCATCCACACGCATCCCCGCGGGTGCTGCATCCCGGTGGGGATCCCCCCGTGCACCCCGTGCATCCACACACCTCCCCTTGGGTGCTGCACGCTCCCCCCCTCCGTGACTGTGCATCCCCCTGGGCTTCCCCCCTTGCACCCCATCCCTGCACCCTGCAACCCGCCTCGAGCGCTGCGTGTCCCCGTCCCCCCCCCGCCCCGTGATTGTGCATCCCCGTGGCATGGCCAGGTGTGTCCCAACAGGCACCTCCTGCCCTACCACGGTGCACCGCGTCCCCGCATGCACGCCCACCCGGGGTGTGTCGCCCTGCGATTGTGCATCCTTGCAGGTACTTCCCTGCGCATCCCTGCGCGTCTCTTGCATCCCGATGCTCTCAACCGTGGGACACTCTCTTCCCTTGTACCCCCGTGACTCTGTATCCCCATGGGCACTCCTCGTGCAACCTGTGCCTGCATCCCCCGACTGCTGTTTGCACCCCCGTGACCATGCAATCCCCTAGGCACATCCCTACATGCACCCCTTCCTTTGCACCCCTGCATATCCCTTGCAGGATCCCTTGCACATGCGTTGCATGTGTTGTGCATTTCCACAGGCAACTTCACACACAGCGAGTGCCTGAACCCTCCCATGCGCTCCCTGAATCTCCAGTTGCACATCCCCATGGGCACTTCCCGGTGCATCCCATCCCCTGCTCCCCTGAGGGGAACTGCTGTACTCCTGTGCATCCCCGTGGGCATCGCTCAGTGCACCCTGCCCTGTACACCCCAGGAGCACCCATTGCACTGTCCCTGTTCCGCTCACTCTGGCAGGCATCCAGGTGTCCCCTGCACCTCATGCACCCAGATGGACACATTCCAATACCCCCTGCATGCTCTGTCCTGTGCACCCTGATGCTGCTCAGTACCCAGAGTCACTGCATCCCAATGGGCCTCCCACCACAGACACCCCAATGGGCACCTCTTGTGTGTCCTGCCCAGGCGTGTCCCAACAGGTGCCTCCTGCCCAAACCCTCCCACGTGTCCTCACCCAGCCTCCCCGAGGTCCTGGCCAAGGTGAAGCAGGTGAAGGGGAGGTTTAGAGTGGCCCCCGGGGATAGTGGGATCTCTGTCCCGGTTAAAATATTACAATCACCACCTGTGCTGTGCTTTGATGATTTCTGCCTTTTTAATGCCTGTCGCAAGCCCTCGGGCACCAAGGTGGTGACAGCAGCTGGTGGCACCCGATCACCCCAAAACCCCCATGGGAAGTGGGAGGAGCCCCTAGCATGGGGGATACCCCAGCACCACCCCATTTCCCCCTCCCCCCCAGTAAACACAACCACCCCACTCAGGGCAAATTGTCCCCAGGGGCAGCTCCATGACAGCTCCTGCTGCTGCAGAAACCACACTCTGGGAGAAAGTTCTGGCAGCAGGTTCATGCCCCCAGTGCTGCCACAGCCAGTCCCTGAGCATTGCAGTTTCACAGCCTCCATGCACCCCACTGGGCACTCCCTTTGTCCCTGAGCCACACAGACCCACAGCAAACCCCACAGCACAACTCGGCTGACACTGCTGCAGGAGACAATGGCCAGGCCAAGCTGGTGATGGCCCCAATGAACACCAGTTCCCATGACGGGCACGAGCGGGTCTGGCGCTCACAGTCTGGGAGGGTTGTCCCCGGTGAGGGCTTGCCCGGTACCAGCTGACAGCATGTGCACAGCATCCTCCAGCTCGTAGAAGGCCTGGAACAGGTCTGGCGAGGTGGCCTGGCACTCCAGGTACCGCCGCAGCGTGGCCAGGCTCCGCCACACCTCCCGCTCCGAGGGGCAGGGCTGCACCGCTGCCAGCTCTCCACCATCTTCAGCATCCGCAGTCCCCTCACCCCCATCCACCAGCTCTCCATCACGCTCCAACTCCTTGTCCGTCAGCGTGCGGCGCTCCAGCTGCTCCTGGCTGAGCAAGCCACGCGCTGGGGCCTCAGTACTGGCGTCGGGGAAGAAGCTGGCAGCACGGAAGCAGCTGGCAATGAGCCCAGGGTGCACGTCACCCCATGCCTGCGCCAGCATGTGCAGAACATCCAGGAGGTTCGGCTGCCCCACACCACGCTCTGCCGGCAGCCACCTTAGCAGCCGGCGCCGGTAGTGGCCCTTGAGGTCACTGGTGATGCCGCGGTCGAGGGGCTGGACCAGGGTGGCAGCTGGTGGGACAAAGACAATTCTGACATTAGAAAGCTGAAGGTAGGGATGAGCCTCGTGCTTGTTGAGGAGGAGAAGGATGTTCTTCCCCTGCCGCCGCATCCCCTCATTGAACTCCCGCAGCCACTCAGCGAAGAGGGGAGCGGTCATAGTGGCCAGGCTGCTGGCACGGTAGCTCCAGGGCATCTGCCCCAGGTTGACACCCCGCAGGCAGCGGGGCTGGGCGCTTTCCCCCACTGCCCTCAGTGGGGCCTTCTCTGAGCCGCTGGCATTGGTGCAGAGCAGGAGTGTCAGCCGGTCACCGGTGCTCTCACCGGGGGAGCTGGCTGGGTTGAGGACGGCCGTCTCCCCGCAGGCATAGATTTCAGAAGGCGCATAGCTGCGGAGGAGGCCAGGAAGCACCGCACTGGCCCAATGCTCAGCTGTGGGCTGCTCCAAGTCTCCTTTCTCCACCAGTGGCTTTTTGAAGGTGAGGTTGTGGCGCATCCCAAAGCGAGCCAGTCTGCCACTGCTGGGCTCCGGGTCGGGCTGGCCCAGTGTCTCGGAAAGGTGTTTGGCCTTGAGCTGGAGGAGCGGGCGACTGACAGGCAGGTCAGTGGTGCAGGCACCCTTCACCCAGCGCAGCAGAGCAGTCTCCAGGGCTACGTCCTTCCCTTCCCGCTTGCGTTTGCGCTCAGGGTCGCCACTGCGGTGCCACTCACTCAGGATCCGCTCCTTGTTCTTGATGATGCGGCAGATCTGGGGCTGCGACACCCCAAAGCGCTTGGCCAGCTCATTCTGTGACACCTTGGGGCCCTCCAGCATCTCCAGCACCCGTACCTTCTCTGTCAGTGACAACTCCTTCCGCTCCTTCCGGGGTGCTGCCGTTGTCCCCTCTGCCGTCCCCGAGGAGCGGCTGGCACAGGGGGCTGGGCGGCAGGGGCCGCTTGTGGTCCCCAGCACCACCACCTCAGTGAACCCTCTTCCACAGCGGCCACAGGCATAGGCACGTTCTCCACTGTGCACCAGCCGGTGCCGCACCAGGTCTGGCTTTTGTCCAAAGCCTCGGCCGCACTCAGCACACTCGAGCAGCGGCTCCCCTGGCTGGCACCGGCGGCTCTCGAAGGCAGGGGGTGAGGTGATGAACCCCCCGTTACCAACACTGGGATTTAGCTCTGGCTCAGAGACGCCGCAATAGCTGCAGCCCCGTTCCTGCAGCGGGACGGGGAAGTCGCTGGAGGCAGTGCGGTGGGATGGGGGGGAGCCAGGCGGCGGGGACACCCCTTCCTCACTCTTCACCTCCTTCCCCAGCCAGTCCCCTGCAGAGACAGAAACCTGTTTGGGGGTGATCCCCTCACTGGGCATCCCGTGGGATCAAGCCCTCCCGTCCAGCAGGATCTGGCCTACCACCCGAGCCCCAGCTCCTTTGTCCCACTCACCCTGGGAGGGGCCAGCGGGTGCCATACGTGGCCCAGGGCTCCGGTGCTCTCTGTAGTGCCCGGCTGCTGCCGCTGCCTCCTCTCCTCGCTCCACCTCAGCCAGGATGTCGGGTTTGGTGACGGTGTAACCTGTTGTGGAAACAAGAGGAGGGCCGGACGGTGGTGCTACCGGTGATGCCGCTGCACGGCGGCTGGTCACAACTGGCCTGCGCTGGCGTCCCCGCGCCACAGAAATCCCGCGGTAAGAGACGCGGTCCAGCGGTGACCCCGGAACCGCCCCACGGCCGCCCTCTGCCACCACCCACCAGGCCGGTGCTGCCGCCACCGTGCCGCGGGCCCCGCTCCCGGCCAGGCCATGACCTGCAGCGCCAGGGCTGGCGGCGGACAGGACCCGCGAGCCTCACCCAAGGCGACGGGGCGCTCGGGGTCCTCCTTCATGGCACCGGCACCGGCACCGTCCCGGTCGGTCCCTGGGGAGACACGGCAGCTGCTCCCGGTGCTGCTCCTGGCAGGGCCTCACCTGCGGGGGGGACAACAGCGATTGAAAGATTCGCTGCACCGGGATGACGGCGCAGGGACGGCCGGCGCGGGTATGGGGAGTCGGCGGTGCCCGCAGGGCCGACCAGGGAGGGGATGGGAGCGCGGCCAGCGAGCCTCGTGGGCCGCAGGACCACCGCCCGTGCTGTACCTGGGCCAGGCCGCGTCCCGCCCGGTGTGTCCCGGTGCAGCCCCAAACACGCCGCTCCCGCCCCGCGCGGTCCCGCTGCCAAAGGCGGGAGCGCGCTCCCCGGCACGCCCGAAGCCCCGCCCCCCCGCTCCGCTCTACTCTGCCATTGGCCAGCCGCCCGCGGGCGCCTCACGGATTGGCTGGGCCGCAGCCCAATCAATCAGCGCGGGGTCAGGGATGCGGCGTTGGGTGTTCTGGTGCGTGGTCTCTCCCGTCGCTGGTGTTGCGTGGTCCGCCCGCCACTAGGTGTCCCTGCGGCGCCACCTGCCGCCGGCACCGCCGCCACTCCCAGTGTTCACTGCGCTCTCGGCATGGCTGCTGAGTACCGTCTCTGTTGAGGAGGCGCCGGGCCCGCGCAGCCGTCTGCTCTGCTCCGCTCCGCCCCGTCCCGCTCCGCCCCGTTCCGCCGCTGCCGCCCGCCGCCCTTCGCCGCCCTCCGCCGCCCTCCGCAGGGCCATGGCCGAGTGGGCCCCCGCTCAGGTAAGCGCTGCTGCCGATCTCCCACCCTCTCCGCTAGCCGCCGCCCCTCGTCCCCCGTCGGCGGCCGCGCCCGAGGGTTGTCGGAGCCGGTGTGGGCCCAGCGCTGCTCCGTTCGCCCCGCGATCGCCCTGAGGTCAGCCGCGGTGCCCCTTCGCTGTGGCGGCGGAGCCCACGGCCGTGTCTATGTTCCTGCAGGACCTGGAGTGGGACATGGAGTCCCAGGAGCTGGCCCTGGAGCAGCCGCTGCCCGTTCCGGAGCAGGGCCCTGCTGCCGAGACCGAGTTGCCGGCCGATGAGATCTCCCTAACGCTGGTCGCTGAGATCCAGGCCGTGGACAGGAAGGTGGATGCCCAGGCAGCCCAGCTGATGAACCTGGAGGGGAGGATGAGGATGGCAGAAACCAAGCTGATTGGTTGCGAGAAGACGGCAGTGGAGTTTGGGAACCAGCTGGAGAGCAAGTGGACAGCCTTGGGCACCCTCATCCAGGAGTATGGGCAGCTGCAGAAGAGGCTAGAGAATATGGAGAACTTGCTGAAGAACAGAAACTTCTGGATCTTGCGGCTGCCCCCAGGGGCGAAGGGGGAGGTCCCCAAGGTAACGGTCCTCTGCTCCATCTTTGGAACGGGGTTGTTTGGCACGTAGTCTGTGCTCACAGACCTGTTTAACAGTGACTGCGGTGCTGAGTGGGACTCAGCTTCCCTGTAGTAATGTCTTGTCTTTAGTGCTCAGGCAGAAGCACCAGCACAGATCCTTATGTGTTAATTGTGCACCACTTGTTACGTACATGTGAGCCTTGCCAAAACACACAGTCTGCTCTGTATGGGATCACAAACCCCTGAGCATGACTGGAGCTGTGTTTGAGTTGTGCAGAACTGTGTGGTTCAGCCCTGTGTACCTAATATCCCCAGTGCCTGTTCAAAGGCAATTAACAACAGAACCATGTCAAAAACAAAGTGGGGAAAGAGCCTGTGTCAGGTGCTGTGCCCACAACAGGGCCCGCAGGAGGAGGCTGAGCAAGGAGTCAAGGTGTAGGCAGGTGATGAGGGAAAACCCCATTGTGTCCCTTGTGGGCAGGAGTGAAGCTGCCTGAGCTTGGCATGGAGGCTGAGCGAGGTGTTTGGAAAGGAGTAGATGTTGCTGCATGGGACTGTCCTGCACTGTGCTTGAGGAATTTGAATGAAGAAACATCCCTGGGTGTTTTCTTCATGTCCTGGGTTCAGGTGTAATGGTTATTTTTCTTCCTAGTAGCTGATGCAGTGCTGTGTTTCGGCTTTAGTCTGAGAACAATGCTGGTAACACACCAATGTTTTAGTTATTGCTCAGTAGCACTTACCCTGACCAAAGATTTTTCAGTCTCTCATGCTCTGCCAATGAGGAAAGGCAGAAGATGACAGAAGGAAGCAGAGACAGGACACTTAACCCAAACTAGCCAAAGGGGTATTCTGTACCACAGCAAGTCATGTCCGGTGTAGAAACTGGGGGCAATTAGCCAGAAGGGATCAATTGCTGCTTGGGTCGGGCTGGTTATCAGTCAGTGGGTGGTGAGCAATTGAGTTGTGCATCACTGCTGTTTAGCTGGGAGGTGTTTTTTGTTGTTGTTGTTTTTTTTTTCTTTTAATTTTATATTCTCCATCCTTGTTATTTCCCTTTTTATTAGTAGTAGTTTTATATTATACTTCAGTTGTATGACTGTTCTTATCGCAACCTGTAGGATTTACATTCTCTTGATCCTCCTCCCCATCCTGCCTGGAGTGGGGAAGCGGGGTGGTGAGTGAACAGCTGCATGATGCCGAGGTACCAGCTGGGTCTAAACCATGACACTTCAACAAGAGACACAACATCCAAACATACAGTGCATCTCATTACAGGTCCCTGTGTCATTCAACGATGCTTCCTTTAACTTTTCTGAGGAGGAGTGGAAGAGCTTGAATGAGTGGCAGAAGGAGCTTTACAGGCATATCATGAAAGGCAACTACGAGGCCGTCATCTCAATGGGTAAAGATGGGCTGGGGTTTGCCCTGAGCCTTCTGCTGCACCAGGTTTTCTCAGGTCCTGGTGGATGGAAGCACCGCTGTGCCTGGCAGGGCTGGGGAGGGTGGGCAGTGTACTGCTCTGGGAACACGTTGTGCCGGCTTTCACCAGCAGCCCTGGCAGGTAGTTCAGTCCTCACCAGTTCAGTTTAACGGTGGACGGACGTCACGAGCATCGCTGCGGTGACTGCGTTTCCCTGACAGTCTCTGTGGCCAGTAGGAGCCGAGCGAGCTGCTGGGTCGTGAGGAGGAGGGGAAGCGAGAGGACCCTCCAGCCACGGAAAGGTGGGGGAGAGGGGAGTTTCTTTGTCACGCAAAGGTCCACAGATCCACTGCGCTGGGTGTGTCAGCCCGCTCGCCGCTTAGGGCAGCAGAGGGGTGCCCTGCCTCTGAGGTTCCTTCCAGCCCTTTCCCTGGTGATAGTCTTTCAGCTTCCGTAAGGGAGGAGAGTGAGGTTTGTCTGTTGCCTGCTTTGGTGCTGTCTCTGACCGCGGCCTCATCCCAGGGAACGCTTCTTGCTCAAGCTGTTGTGGTTTCTGCTGCGGTAGGGCTGCGTGTTCACAGTGAAATGAACTCAGTGCTCTGCTCGCTCCTTCCAGTCCTGGCTGCGGGAATTCCCTCTGGGGGATGTGGTGCCTTCATGAGCACCTATGTGTGTTCTCAAAAGTGACCTCCCCTTGGCTGGATGTCCGTGTGCAGTGCGTGGCAGCGCAGCCACAGTTCCTGGTAGACCGGCATCTCTTCCCTGTGCTGAGGCCACTAGTGTGCAGGCTCACCCACCACCCTGCTGTTCAACACTGGTCCAGCCAGGCCTTTCATCATTTTTTCCCCCTTTCTTTCTTTATTTTTTTTGGACAGAGGTCTTCCGTGAGCAGGGGAAAAAGGGGAAGGGTAAATACTGCCCCCCGTTATGTTAAAATCCAACCCTGTGTCCCACTCTAGAGGTGCGGGAACGTAACAGTCCTGCTGAGGAGGATCTGTGGATCTGAGCCTGGAGCTTACAAAAATGTATGTGTGCTTCGTCTGAAGGTTTCCTTTGAGAATGAGGTTCAGGGGTTTGGCCCTCACATAAGGCAAATGGATCCACCAGAGCAGCGGTGGAAATTAATGCCCAGAGACTCACGCTAGTTTGGGAATGAAGTTTTTGGCTCTCCACCCTAGGAGAGATTGTGATTGTCCCCTTTCCCCCACCAAAATCCGCAAGCAGCCTGTGACTCGGACGAGTAGGATGGAGGGAACCGCATGGGGAGGGCACTTCCCCTGCTGCTGCTGGCTGACAGCTCTGGTGCTGTCCCCGAGCTGAAGTCCCCATTGTAATGGATCCGCGGACCTTAGCAGAGAGGAGAAGAAAGGAAGCCTGGAGGTAAGCACAGATGCATTTTCTTATTCTCCTCCTCGCGCTGCAGGCTGGGAGGTGCTCCTCACCTGAGCAGAGTGTGCTCCTGCAGTCCGCTCATGTTCCCAGGGCCCAGACAAGGTGAGCGGTGCAGATGTGTGAGAGCATCATAAGCCTCTCTTTCCATTACCCGTCACCCCCAGCAGCGAAGGAAGGTTGGTGGGCAAAGGTTTGAGAGTCTCACTCCCGTGAGGGCGAAGGAAATGTTTTGATCCTCTTTTCGTATGCAGATGCGGCCATTTCGAAGCCAGACCTTCTGTCACGGATTGAGCAAGGAGAGGATCCCAACGCGGAGGATCCGGAGGACTCTGAGGGAGGAGAAACCCCTACAGACCCCAGCACTGGTGAGCCATAAGATTCCTAGGACACAGTGGGGAGGTAGAAAGCAGGTGTGTGGAAGAAGCAGAAGTGGAAGAGCACCTGCCTGCACTCTTCCACTTGCCTCTGCCAATGAGTTTGTCCAGCTCTGCCCTTGGGTACACCGGTGGCTTAGTTTTTCTCGCTGGCTCCTACCCGGTGCGGCCATCTCCTGAAATCCTCTATAAAGCAGCTGGGAGGCCTCAGCATAAACTCCTCTTCTTGTGCGCAGAGTTTTCCTTTCCTGGTCCTGATGATTGCTCGTGGAGTAAATATGAAGAGGCTCTGGCTGAAAGCCACGATGGCTCTGAAGAAGAAGAAGAAGAAGAAGGCATGGAAGTTCCTTGTACATGTGAGTTAGAAGTGCAGAGCTTCACTGAGCACTGCAGAAAGAGGGAGACAGAGGCGGGCTCAGGCTCTTGGCGCATGCTGGGGATTGCCCGGGGTGAGATCCTGCCTTAACCACAGTCTTTGCCAGGCTTGCCTCAGGGGTCACTGTGGGAGCTGAACAGCAGCCGAGGCAGATGGATAGCACACGTGCAGAAGCTGTGATACATAAGCAGCAGGCTCTAAAAGCAGCTGTGGGCTGGCTAGGGCATGCAGACCACCTGTACAGTGTCTCATCACTTGGTGAGAGTGTGTATTTGGTCAGCCTTGAAGTGTAGCACAGGCAGGCTTTTGATGGTGTTAGCTCTGAAGCACAGGGACACGTGAGCTGCTTTGGGAAGCATGCCGTGCTAGGACGTGCTTTTGGCTTCCCAGCGTTGTTCTCAGAAGCAGATCAGTGGTTCTGGCTGGTGCTTTTCCAGAGCATCAGCCTGAGGAAGAGAAGGCAGCCTGTTTTCAAGCCCACGTTTTGATGTCACAAGTGACAAGCAGATGAAGAGCCTGTGACAGGGAGTGCCGAGGTCTTCCCTGGGCATGCAAATTCTCAGTACAGCTTTGCCTTCTTGCACCCTGCAGAAACCTGTGGGTTTCCAGCTCTCCTCCCCACATCTCCAGAATCTCTGGATTCTTTTCATCCTCCTTTTGCCAGGGTCCTTAGTGGCTGCTTTTAGTTCCCATTCATACTACAGGAGATCCTTCGGCCCCAGGCCTTGTGCAAGCTCCAAAGGAAAAGAGATTTTATTCCGCTTCCCTTAATTTTTATTTTTTTTTTGCCTTTACCCTAAACCGCAGGTTCTTAAAGACCTGTTCTGCTTCACCTCCTGCTGAGGAATCCACTTCTGCTTCCCTTTGTCTAGTTACATGTAGAGATCTCATCATTGTGCTGTCTTAGCTTTTCCAAGAAGTCTTTATGAATGATCTGGACAAGGGGATCAAATGACCCCTCAGTCTGTTTGCAGATGATAGCAAGTTGGCTGGGAGTGTTGATCTGCTGGAGGGTAGGAAGCATCTGGACAGGGCAGATCAATGGGCTGTGGACAATGGTGTGAGGTTCAACAAGGCAAAGTGCCAGGTCCTGTACTTGGTCACGACAACCCCATGCAATGCTCCAGGCTTGGGGAAGAGTGGCTGGAAAGCTGCTCAATGGAAATGGACCTGGGGTGTTGGTCGACAGTTGAACATGAGCAGCTTGTGCCCAGGCAGCCAAGAAGGCCAATGTCATCCTGGCCTGTATCAGCAGTAGCGTAGCCAGCAGGGCCAGGCCAATGATCATCCCCCTGTTCTGGGCACTGGTGATGCTGTGCCTCAAATCCTGTGTTCAGTTCTGGGCCCGTCACTACAAGAGAGATGTTGAGGTACTGGAGTGGGTCCAGAGAAGGGCAACAAAGCTGCTGAAGGGCCAGGAGCACAAGTTCTGTGAGGGGTGGCTGAGGAGAGGTGGTTTAGCCTGGAGAAAATTAAGATTGGGGGAGATGATCTCACTCTCCACAGCTGCCTGAAAGGAGGTTGTAGTGAGGTGGGGATCAGGCTCTTCTCCCAAGTAACAAGTGATAGGGCAAGAGGAAATGGCCTCGTGTTGTGCCAAGGAGGTTTAAGTTGGATATTAGGGAAAATTGTTCAATGGAAGTGTCAGGCACTGGAACAAGGCTGCCTCAGGGCAGTGGTGGAGTCGCCAGTCCTTGAAGGATTAGAAAGACACGTAGATGTGGTGCTGAGGGACATGGTTTAGTAGTGGACTTGGCAGTGCCAGGTTAACGGTTGCACCTGATGATCTTAAGGGTCTTTTCCAACCAAAACGATTCTGTGATTCTAAGTCAGAATACTTTGGCTTTGTTCATACTCCCACACTGCTGAGGTAGCTCCCAGGTGGGACTTGTAACGCTGTAGTACCAGGTGCTGTCCTGAATGTGCAAGCAGAGACCACCTTTGACCTGAGAGAACTGGGGTCTAAATAATGGGACAGTTCCTATCTCAAAGAAATGACATGACTATCTCTGCTCTGGCAGATGAACAGCAGTGTGATGAGGAAGGTTCCGAAATCCTTGAGCTTCCTAGCTCCTTGGCAGGAAAGTGGGAAGAGGTTTTCTCAAGCCCAGAGGAGGAGATAAAGCCAAGCAGCAAGAGCCGGAGCGGATCAACCTCGCAGCAGAGAACAGGCAACGGGCTGAGGCGCTCCTCTCGCCGCGGGAGAGACTTGGCCAAGAAGGATGCTCCTGAGGATGTGGCTTCAGTAGAGGGGCCATACATCTGCTGTGAGTGTGGGGAGAGCTTCCTGGACAAGCAGCTGTTTGCCACCCATCAGAAAGCGCACGCCAGCGAGGAAGCCTGCACTTCCCTGGAGCACGGAGAAGGCTTGAGGCAGAAACCCAAAACAAAAGGCCAGGGGTCTTCCCGCTCCAAACAGTCCAAACGCTCTGATGGGGAAAAGAGCTCTGGTTTCAAATACGGCTTTGTCAGGCACCAGGTGAACAACATGGTGGAGAGACCCTACACCTGCTCCCAGTGCAAGGAGAGCTTCAGCCTGGAAGTGAGCCTGATCTTGCACCAGAAGCTCCACACAGGGAAGGGTGACGGGCCGCTGACATGCACCTACTGCGGGAAGGACTTCCGCGACCTCTCCAAAGCCATCCGCCACCAGCGCATCCACACAGGGGAGAGGCCATACCAATGCACTGAGTGCGGGAAGAGCTTCATCCGGCGGGACCACCTGCTCAAGCACTGGCGGGTGCACACCGGGGAGACCCCCTACCAGTGCCCTGTCTGTGGGAAGCACTTCCGCTACAAAGAGTCTCTGAATTGCCACCAGAAAATCCACTCCCGCACCCCCCGACCCATGGAGGATTCGCAGCTCAGGCTGGAGTCGGGCACTCAGACCAGCCTCTTGTGTGTGAAAAAAGAAACTAAGCAGTAGCGCTGGCACACGGGGGGCAGGGCGGAAGGGCTCACGGTTATTGTGAACGGCCTCGCAGGTGGACGTGCAGCATGATGGGAGGCAAGCTTGTGTCGCAGCTAATCCATGTGGTCATGCTACAGAGCCCACTTTGTTGAAGCATCAAAGAAATTCCTCTTAAAAAAAACAAACTCTTGACCAGATGGCCCAGGCACTTCTGCGACCCTGCGAGGTGATGGGGGACTTCCACAGGCCTTGTGCTAGTTGTCCTCTACACTGGTTTGGATTTTGCCTGTGGCGAATAATCCCGAGCGGTTCTCCGGGGTCTTTATTTAGCAGGTGTTCCCCCACCTATCTTTGTGCATATTCAGGAGTGACAAGCTTTCGCTTTCTTTTTTCCACTCTTTTCACTGCAAGGCTGGAGGCACGAGGGAGGGAGGGAAGGAAAAAGGGAGGGAAGGTGCCATTCCCAGACAACTGGCCGCCTGCTCCTGTTGCATTGCTGAGCCTGGAATGGCAGCCCCGTGCTGCAAGGCCGGGGCTGGAATGAAGGGAAGAGAGGCAAAACAGAGGCACGGTGAGAGGCACAACACAGGATTTGTTGAAGGCAGAAAAGTGGAGGGGAGAGAGAGGCAAAGAGCAAGGTGAGAATGAGTAAGTGCTGGAGGAAAGGACAGGCAGGAGAAGGGGCTGTGAACATCAGAGTAGGAGGAGTCGGGAAGGGCAGCGTGTGGAAGCAGTCAAGTGACTCACCCAAGGAGCACACATCTCTGTTCTTTCAAAGGATGTTACTGGCACCAGGCGAGCTGTTGATTCCCTGTGGCCTGAGGGAACGGAGCCACTGGTCTGTCACACAGACTCCTGTCAATGAAGGCGATTTTAGTCTTATTTTTTACTGAGTTTGGTCTCACATTCAGGTAAGTCAGATGAGTGAAAGCAACTTCTCCTAACCCCTGTAAAGAGCTGTTTGGTTTTTAGTTATGCTAGACGTAGAATATTATTATTATACGATATATTATTATTGTTATTAATTATTATTATTATACTACAAGGAAATGTGGCACTATATTTCACAGTCGATCTAAAACATTTAAATGTATGGGATAACAGAGTTTTTTCAGATGTCTGTGTAAATATTGGTTGACTTCTCGGAGCTAATTGGTGTTGTTCTGAGGTGGCTCTAAGTGGTGTCTCTTCCGCTGTGTATTGTCAGTTGCTGGTTCGTGGTTGTGTTTTGTAATAACTTTTGTAAAGTCCGTCAATACAGTGTTTCCATTCTGAAGCTGGTGTTGGGTGAGTGCTGGCAGCCCTGGTCCCCTCACCGCCTATGTTTTGTCCTTGCTCGCCACGCTGCAGCACCCATGCCCAGCCCTTGGCTGTTATCTGTCAGCTTTTTCCAGGTAACTTGCAGAACTGATAAACCACACAAGCCAAGCTGGGGAGCCAGAGCCAGCAGATGAGGCTGCTTGGTGCAGCTCTGCAGCTGCTGCGGTCGATGTCTGGCATTTGGGCTTAGTGTTTTTAAGCTTTTTCTCTGCTGCCGCTATGGCTGGAAGCAGACTTTGGTTTTATGTGAGAAGCTGGCCTGTGCCACACACAGACAGGGCTACAGCAGTGGCTGAGGAGTCGTCGGATGCAGCCAGGCTCTGCTGACAGGTAGAGCCGGACAGTCCCATGCTGGGAGAAGCGCCAGCGTACGCGGCTGCAGCACTGCCCTGCGCCTCAGAGCTGGGATGTGGTGGACTGACCCTCTGGCACTGAGGCAAGAACAGCCCAGGAGCGCACTGCTGAGCACCTAGCTGCCAACACTGCGGGTTCATCTCTCACCAGACGTGGCAGCCTGGCCCTGCGGTGCTGTGTGGTGTCCCAGTGGAACTGGTGGGACCTTGGCATGCGGGGAGGGCAGCCGCCGAGCCGGGCCATGCTGGGTTTGCATTGCTACTTCCTTGCTCGCATATACCCAAGCTCTTTGTAAGGGGCTGCCAATAAACCGTTCCTGTCAGGCCTGGCCCCACGGGGCCGCATGCCGTTTTGTCTCACCGCGCCGGGGCCTGGTGCATCCTGGGGAACAGGGTGCGGAGCTGCATGGCCTTGGGGATGTGGGGCTGGCCAGGGCCCCATGATGTTCCAGGAGGGTCCAGCTCTTCCCCTGCAGCATATCCCCTATTGCTGTGCTGCATCTTCATTCCCTCATCCCACTGGGGGAGTGTTTGTGCCAGGGGCATCCCCTCTCTCTTTAGGTGTCTGTGGAGGGGAGACTGGTGCAGCCTCACACCCCCCAGCCCTGGGGCCAGCATCCTGGGCTGCTGCTGGCTGTCAGCACCTAGTCTTTGGATGTCCCTATGTCACTATGGGGTGCTAGGGGGGACATGCTGCCCCTTCAGGAGTTCCCCCCAGCCCAGCATCCCCTATGTTATTCCCTTACAGAGCCCAGCACAGGGGGCTGGTACCTCTCCTAGGGCAGGCCTCTCTGTGGGGGCTTCTACCAGAGCCCCCCCCCGAACTTAGACAAGGGCTCAAGGGGTTGTTCTGGCTTGGGGCCAAACATGGAGTGTGGGCAGGGTGGCCCATGGGGCCTGTCCATGGGTCAGAGCCAGCACAAGGACCTGCACTCACATCCCACAGGCTCCCAGCAGCTGACACTGGAGGGTGCCGGGGATCCTCCACCTGTCCCAGCCATGCCCAGTGCTTGTGGGGCCAGGGTGGGTGACCCCCGCCAAATCCCTGGTTCACTATGGAGCAACCAGGCAGGGTAGGGCTGTCCCATGTAGGGAGGGTGCAGGGATTCTGGATGTGGTGGAGAGAGGGAGGAGGAGGAGAGAAAAGGCTCATAAGAGGTGAAAATGCACCATGCAGATCAGGTACAGGGCAGTGGCAGTGATGAGACTGAACACGTACGAGCACATGGAGACACCGTAAATGCACACTTGTACTTTTATGGTGTATTCACATGCTGTTGGCATGTGCCTGTGAATATATACACACATACGTGGCTGGCAGCTTGGACCATGGGCACACTGCACTCACATGAACACAGGAACAGCGGCTGCTTCCCGATCCCTCTGGCTGGTCACGGCGAAGAGCTGCTCCTGGTTTCCATCGCTCCCAACGGGAAGGGGCTGTGGCTCCCTTGGACAGCCTGGAGGGGGTCAAACAGGAGTGCCCCAATCTGGGTCCCTGCCTTGTCCTCCCCTCGGTGGGTGGAATGGGTGTTGTACCCCAAAGCCCACATTCCTGGCCCTAGCACCACAGTGGTGATGGGATGCAGCCTCATCCCTTTGCTCCCTTTTCCTGCAAACCAAAGGGTTCCCTGCCCTTGTCTGGGATTGGTGTCATCGACTTCAGTCATTGTCACCCTGTGCCAGGTATCCCCGAGGTCGGGAGAGGGAGAGAGGCCATGTGCCAGGGGCTGCATACCAGGTCCTGCCTGGGGCAGTGTGCAGGCACATGGACACACTAGGGTGGGAGGGGATGGGACTGTGTGGGACGACAGGGGGGGATGGGATGGGATGTGAATGAGATGGGATAGGACGCGGTGCGGATATGACGGGATGAGGATGAGATGGTGATGGGATGAGGACGGGATGTGATGGGATGGGGATGTGACAGGATGAGATGGTGATGGGATGCGATGGGATGGGGATATAACGGGATGAGGAGGGGAGGGGATGGGGACAGGATGGGGATGTAATGGGATAGGATATGATGGAACTGGATGAGACAGACGAGATAGAATGGGACAGGATATTGTATAAGGTGGAACAGGACGGAACATGGCAAGACTGGACAGGACACAACCGAGTCGAAGGAAATGGGATGGGGATGCAATGGGACATGATGGAACTGGATGAGACACGGCACAGGTGGGCCAGGATGCAGTGGGATGGATAAGGTGAAACAGGGTGAGATATAGCAAGACTGGACAGGACACAACAGGGTGGAAAGAAATGTGATGGGACAGGACAGGATGGGGTTGGGATGGGATGGGACAGGCTAGGCATGGGGACAGGAACGGTACAGGAGCAAACAGGCCGACCAGGACCGGGCGACACAAACGGGATGGGGTAGGACGGGACGGGACGGGGCAGAGGCGGACAAGCGGGGAGGCGCGGGAGCTGCACGGAGGCCGCGGGAGCGGGTGGCTGTTAACGGCCGGCCGGTTGCCATGGCGACACCGCCCTCCGGCCGCCATTTCACAGGCCCGCGGGGCGCGAGGCCGCAGGGCGGGGGGGCGGGGCCGTGCCGCGGAGAGAAGGGGCCGCCAGGGGGCGCCCGAGCCAGCCCCGGCCATGGCGGCGCCCGACGGTGCGGGCCGGGCCCTCCCCCCCCTCCCTACGTGCGCGGTGTCCTCCCCCGGTCCCCGCGGCATCCGCAGTAACCCCCCCGCAGTGACCGCAGTCCTCCCCCAGTTCCCCAAGGGGAACGCTAGGGCCCTCGGCTCCCCTGGCGGCCCCGTCACACCGATCTGCCCCCCGTTCCCCACGGTCTCTCCCATTCCCTTCTCAACCCCCACCCCGCAGTCAGATCAGTCCCCTGGGACCCCCAGGGGCCCCGGGTTACCCCCCCCCCCCATATTCTCTTAGGGCCTTCCCAGTTACCCCTCCCCCCCCCCAGCTTCCCCAGCCCCTCCTCAGTCCTCCCCAGTTCCCACACCAGCCACCCTCAGATCTCCCTCAGTTCTCTCCCTTAGCCCAGTTATTCCAGGAACAGCCCTTGTGCCCCCAGTCCTGTCATCCCAGTTATTCGTGGGGCTCCCATTAACCCCAGTGCTTCCAGTTGCCGCCAGTCCCTCAGTCCCTTCCCAGTCACCCTAAGGCCCTCCCCAGTCCTCTCCTCGACCCTCTCCAGGTCCCCCAGCACCTCCAGTCACATCAATTCGCCTCTAGTTCCCCCCCCCCCCCCCCAGTTCACTTCCCTCATTCCCTAGTTCTCTGAGCACCTCCAGTCACCCAGTCCGTCCCTGGTTCCCCCCAGCCTTGCCCCAGTTGCCCCCACTGCTTCCCCACTTTTCCCAGCCCCTCCAGTCACCCCAGTCCCTCTCCAGTCCTCCCCAGTCTCGTCTCCACCCCCCGCCCCCCGTGCAGCCTTCCCTGCGTCACCCCCGTTCTCCCATTCCCCCTCGTTCCTCTCCCAGCCGCGGCCGGCGCGGAGAACCCACAGACCCGATCCCGGGGCACCCCCCACGTCCCCTTTCCCCCTTCCGCGCGTCGCGGAGCCGATGGCTGGGCCGGGCCGGCCGGGCCAGTGTAGGCGGGGGGGGCCCCGACGGTGCGCGGCTGCCCGCGCGCGGTGATGCCGTCGATGCGACAGGGGGCGCTGCGGTGGCAGCGGGCGCCCCGCTCCGCCCCGCCAGGCGCGGCCCCCGGCGCGGCCCGCGCGCGACGGCGGCGGCCTGCCCGCCCCCTGCCGGCTCGGCGGGGCAGCGGCGGGGCCGGAGCGCCCAGCGCGGAGCGGCGGAGCCGGGACGCGGAGCCGCTGCTCGGTCTCACGTCGCCGCCCCTTCGCCCCCCCCCCGACCTTCGCCCCCGCCTTCCCCGGTCGGGTCGGGCCGGGCCGCGCCCCGCCCCCGCCGCGCCGCCCCGCCGCGCCCCCGCCCCGCCACCGCCCCACCGCGCCGCGCCGCCCCGGGCCCAGCCCGATGCCCGGCGGCGGGCGGAGGTGAAGGAGCGAGCGGCTGCTGGAACCTCCCGGCCGCGGCCCCCGGGGCCCCGGGCAGGGAACAAAGGGCCATGGCCGAGGGGGCTCCCGCTCAGGTAAGGGCGCCCGCCGCTCCCCGCCGTCTGCCTAGAGAGCGTCGCGGCCCGGCCCGGCGCTCGCGGGCCGCACGTCGGGGAGGGCCGCGCCGTCGGGGCCGCGGCGGGAGGCGGCGGGGCGGGCGGCAGGACGGACGGGCGGCGGGGGCTGTTAGCGTGCGGCACCTCGGCCGCCCCCCCGGGGGGACGGGGCGGGCAGGGCCGGCGGCGGCTGCGGCAGCCTAGGCAGCCCCGGGGGGGCGGTGCCACCGGGCCGGGCCGGGCCGGGCCTCCGCGGCCGGCGGCGCCCGAGCTGCCGTCGGGGGCCGGGCCTGCACCTTCTGCCCTCCCCAACCCTGGCGGCCGGGCCCTGCGGGTCGCTAGTTGCCTCCCTGTGACAGACCCTCCGTCCCCCGGTGATAGGCCGCCTCCCCCCCCCCCCCCCCCCCGCCGTGTCACTGCTCGGTCCCCATGGTGATAGGGTGCCCTTGCCCCGACAGCGCCCGACATCCCCCCCGGGGTGTCCCTTCTCCGTGCCCATGGAAACGGGGCTCAGCTGTCCCCTGTCATCCCCTTCCCCCAGTGTCACCACCCGGCCCTGCGGTGTCGGGGCGCTCCCTCCTCTCCCTGTGGATGGTGCTGCCCATCCTTTGGGACCGACGTAAGCAGCTTATCAGGGTCAGCGCCCTGCAGGGTCGCGGGTACTTCCCCGCTGCCCTAGGCTCTGAAATGCTCCTCCCCGGGGGTCCCTGTCACCCTGAGGATGCCCCCCCTCCCCCCCCCCCCCCGTGACACCTGCACACCTCTTCCTGCAGGCGCCGGAGCCGGTGCAGCAGCCGTGCTATTCCTCACCCTTCCGGCCGGTGTCTGGGCATGAACGCACCTCGGAGCAGGAGACGCAAACAGCTGAGGTGTCCTTGATGGTGGTGGCGGCAGTGCAGGCGGTGGAGAGGAAGGTGGACTCCCATTCCACCCGCCTACTTGACCTGGAGGGTCGGACGGGGATGGCAGAGAAGAAACTGATTGACTGTGAGAAGACGGCAGCAGAACTGGGGAACCAGCTGGAGAGCAAGTGTGCGGCACTGGGCACCCTCATCCAGGAGTACGGGCTGCTCCAGCGGCGCCTGGAGAACATGGAGAACCTCCTGAAGAACAGGAATTTCTGGATCCTGCGGCTGCCCCCAGGCAGAAAGGGGGAAGTCCCCAAGGTAACGGTGTTCTGGGGTGCAGGGTCTGCACCCAAAATGCTCCCAAAACTCTAATGGAGGGCAGCACAGGGGGAAGAAGTGGTGGGTGAGCAGGGACAGCCCTAGCACAGGTGAGTCACTCACAGCGGAGCTGCTGCTCTCGGTTTCCTGGCATCTCTCCCATGGGACCTGCCTGCAATGGGAGATGGACCTGAAGGCAAGATCCCCTGTACTCAAGCTGGAGGTTTCACTTCTTCACCACACTGCACAGCCCAGCAGCAATTCACTTTTTTTTTTTCACCTTTCTTTTTTTACCAACATTTGAGAGAAACCCTGCAGATTTGGTGGCTCTTTTACTACCTTGGCGCTGCTCTGGGGGCCTCCTGGGTCAGGAATGGAGCAAGCAGGGGACCTCTGGGGTTCAGGGGAAGGCAAATGAGCTTTCTGCGTTTGTAGTTGGGCTTAGCTGAGCTTCAGAGGGAGCCCACAATCAGTATTCAGTTCCCTGCATTTCATGATCATCTCAGTAAAAGCAACTTTGCAGATGGGACCATGTCGAACATGGCAAAGGGGACATCACTGGAGAGAGTGGAGGGGCTACGGAAAAGGGGGATTCAGCCCCAAACACTCCGTTAGTGCAGTCAGCAGTCAGGGAGTTAAAGCTTCTGAAGAGCTCCATTCAGACATGGTGCAGCTTGCACATCCCAGATTTATCCTTAGAAATTATTTCTTGGCACACAGACTTGAAAGCTGCAGTCTGCTCCTAGCCCATGTGCACACACTAACTCATGATAGCTGGAGCCCTTCAGGCCCAGGTAGAGCTTTCCCTCGAGTTCTGGGGTTTTACATCAGCTCATCAATAGAGATGAGGTCCAGCTCTAGCACCCAGTTTTTATCTCCTTGACTGTCCCTCCAGGTGGGCACAAGCCCTATCACCTCTGTAGGTCATCCCCACTGGTGCAGGGACCAAGAGGAAGATGTTGGTGTCGGTGCTGGAAATCATGATCTGGGTTCATGACCGGGACTGGCCATTTGACTGGGACCTTTGATCTCATAGAAATATCTCTCCAGGAGCTGTTTTAAATACGAAAACCAACTCGTTGATGGCCATGAGGTAGCTGAATCCTGGCCATGTCCAAGCGGGAAGGAGCTGCTGCTGCCACAGACTGGAGATAAGGTGTAGGGCTCCTGGGGAGTGAGGTGGCTGCTTGAACCCATGCTGCTGTGATTGCAGGTGCCAGTGACATTTGACGACGTGTCTGTCTATTTCAACAACAAGGAATGGGAGAAGCTGGAGGAGTGGCAGAAGGAGCTGTACAAGAATGTGATGAAAGGGAACTATGAGTCGCTGATCTCCCTGGGTAAATATGGGTTCTCCAGGGCTTCTGGCTGCCTGCAGGCTTGAGCACCTTCTGAGTCCTCCTTGGAGATCCCTTTGGATCTCCTTGAGACCCAAATATCCTGTTAAAAGGAGACCTAAAATCACAGGAGGAGGTTTCTGGTCTGGGTAAGGGAATCCCTCCGGCAATGTTCACTCCCAGCTTGGGTTACAGTGTTGTCCCAGCTTGGTGGTGGGTATGCCCACAAAACGAGATGGGCTAGAGACCTCCCAAGGCTCCTTCCAGCCAGTGTTACTTGGTGAAAACCCAGCACCTTCCCCGTGGCTGTTGTAAGGGATTCCCTTTGTCTTTTGGGTCTGCAGTGGGTACCAGCCCATGCACCCCATCAGAGAAAACTTTTCCAGAGGGAAAAATTGTCTGAGATGGTCTTAGCTGTGCTCTGTTGAGGTGTTTCCTGCTGAAGCTGGCAGGAGAAATCCTGGCTCTGCTGCAGCCAGAATGGAAATGCTTTTGGCTTCAGGAGAGCCAAGAATTTACCTGAGAAGTTCTAAAAGCCCACCAGAAAAACACACAGGTTGGATTTCTTCTCAAAGGGAGTTCCTCTGTGTGTGGCTCCTCAGCTTCTGCCTCTGTGACTCCCTTCTGCCCACCTGGGGAGCTTGGCCTGCCCACAGCACCATGCTCTCCTGTCTGCAGACCCTGTGTGGATGTTTCTGAGTGTCTTCCTTTGTCCCGTCCGTGTCCCCCCCCCCCCGGGAATGAGGAAAGGTGGAAGCCAATATTAGGACTTCCCTGTGCAGTAATCCCTCTTTTCATCCCTTTCTCAACAGACTATGCAATTTCCAAACCCGGTGTCTTGTCTCAGATTGAGCAAGGAGAGGAATCGCGGGTCAGGAATGAGCCAGACTTGGAGGAGAGTGAGATCATTACTGATGCCACTGCAGGTGAGGCAGCAGCTTAGCACAAAGGGGAACATAAATTTAGAGGAGGTGCTCACCCCGCGGCTAAAGCAAGTGTTGCTGAGAGCTGTGCCTGCTTAGGAGGAGCCTTGCTTAGGAGTGGGAAAGATTTGGCTAATGGGTGGTTGGATCTGCAGGTACAGCTCAACATATAAACCAGGGCAGGTGGAGCCCAGACAGTTGACACTAAGAGCCATCAGCAAGGGAAGCATCTGTATCCAGACCAGGTCATCAGGGAGCCAATGTGTTTGGCAGAACAGGGAATTGGGTCCTGGTGGGTAAACCCATCCACCAAAAAAAGCCTCTGTGCCCTCTGACTGTGTGGATGGTGCTTGGGTTTATCCCAGGCGCAGCCCCCAGGCAGGGAGCCTGCTCCATCCTGCGCATGGGTACTGGAGTGCTGAGGGGTTTCTCTGAGGGCAGGGCTGGGCTGAGAGCAGGGAACCAGGGACCCCGAGTCCTGCAGTGACTCCTGCTCTGAGATAAGGGGGGGAGGATAAGGAGATAAGAAGAGATGGTGTCAGCTCCGCTTGCCCCAGGCTGCAAACATGGGGTCGTTCCAGCCCCCTGCTGTGATCTTGGTCACAACGATCTTTAAGTTAGATCAAGGCCAACAGGAAAAAAACAACAGGAAGCCAGCATGGCAGCCAGATAGCCAGCATGGCAGCCAGGGATGTAGGGTGGTGGAGGGGTGCTGAGCTGCAGGTGTTGAATCCCCAGGCCAGGCAGAGCCAGTCCCCTCTGCGTGCAGAAGATCCCAGGTGAGAGGCAGGAGCATGGCAGGGGTGGTTGAAGGGAGAGCAGCTGAAACCCCTCTGCGGGATCAGCAGCCAGAGCTGGTGGGGATTGTTGCAAGTGGTTTCTTTGTCCCGGCTCCCTGGAATGATGGTGGGTGGGAATCTCTCTTCACTGCAGCTGGCATAAGGGTTGTGATCAAAACGGAGGAGCTCCTTCCTGAAGACAGCCCTGAAAACCCTGAGCTGCATGGGATGTCGGGGCAGTCAGAGGGGAGCTTCCAGAGTCCAGATGAGGAGGCAGCCTGTGAGAGTCCCTATGGCTCCGTCTCACCTCCGAGGGACCTCCCGGGAACCAGCCTGGGTGACTCGTCTGAATACGTATCTGACTTCAATGAGATCCAGAGAGTCATCGTTCACCATGGGAGCTGTGCAGGTGAGATGCTCGGCTCATGGCTCTGCATGGCATGGCGAGGGGGAAGGAGGCCCAGGAGGAGCTGTAGTGTGTTGGGGGAAGGTGAGGAATGGGTGAGATAGAAGAAGGGATAAATCCTCCCAGAACCAGCAACAGAAGGAAAGTTTCTGGCTGCAGCAACCTCAAGAGCAGCTGTGGTCATAACTCAGGCTAGGAGGAGGAGGCAGCACACACATGGTGGACATCAAAGCATTGTCTCTAAGGGCACCTGACCCACTCCAGAGCAGAGCAAGCACCTCTGAAGGTGGGAAAAGCCCTTGTTACACACAGAGACCAAGGGAAGACGTGTCTCAGGCAGCATTTTAATGAGTCCCAGCGAGCTCCCGCTGCCGAAATCCTACCGTTGCAGGGGGCAGGACATCAGTTGAGGTCTCCTGCCCTGGTGTTAGTTGCGCAGAGGAATGGTGTAAGCCACTCAGATGCTAACACACCAGAATCTGCTGGAGAAACATTGGAGGTCCAGCATGTTGACCAGTATGGTGATTGCTTAGGAGAGGTCTGGAAGACAGAGAGGAGAGTGGCCAGAGGTCCCTGGTGTGGGAGGGGAAGGCTGAGGTTATTTACTGGGGGTATGAGAAGATAGCAGCAGGTGCTTCATGTGTAGAAGTCTGGTATGGGCCAGATCCTACAGAGATGCTTTGTGGGTGGAGATGGGAAGGCAGAGAGGTGTGCTGTTAGGAACAGCAAGTTCCCTGCCTTCTGATGGCTTTGCAATGGTGTAGCACAAACCAAGAAAGATAAAGTTGGGCTCTTGAGGTTCTCCTCCACTCTGTCTCATGTATCCTGTGGTCTCCTCATGGTTTTCTAAAGGAAACCAGCCAAGCCACCAGTGCAGCTGAAGCTGATCCTCATCCAAGAGCCAGCACCTCTGCCAATGCTTGGGGCCCCCACTGGTGGGGTTGAGCAGGAGCTGCAGCAATGCTCTGACCGTGGTGCAGGTGCCAGCTCCAGCAGTGACAGCCCCTGGTCCACATAGGGGAGGCTTCTTGCTGCGAGGAGGAGGAGAGGAGGATCTGGGAATGTGGGTTTTCCCCACAGACACCTCTGTTGGAGGGGAGAGCTTTGATACACTCTGCTCCCATCAGCTGCCTCTTCTTGGGAAAGCATGGCTGCTCTTCCTAGAAAAGTACATAGGCCTGGCTCAAAGTCCAGTGGAGGATGACATGCGAGGGATCCACCATGGGCCTTTCCTCAGGACATGCTGGCTATGTGTCCTGCTGTGTGTGTGCCCACAGCCAGTCTCACCAAACAGAAACAACCAGGTCACCTCTGGCATTGGTGACCCAAGGGGGGGGCCTGAGCTGTAGCCATCCATTGCACCACTGGTTGTCTTGGGGAAGGAGGGCGTCTCTCCCAGTGCCCTGTCCTGGTGAAGCTGAAGGAGGTTGACAGTCCTGGGCTATGTTCATGGATTCAGGAGTGGAGCTGGAGGCCAGCAACCCTGTGTGGTGGTTCTGTGGAGCAGTGCTGTGCAGGTGTGGTGGTGTAGCCCAGAAAAATGGTAGCAGATGTAGCTGCTCCAGAACCACTTGGCCACCTGATTCCTTGCAAACCAATGGTGCTTTTACCCCCTCTGTCTTGTAGCATCATGAAATTGCAAAACCTTTTGGCAGACAGGGCTCACCGCACCCTCCGAAGGAGCCTGTCTGGGAGGCGGTTTTTCTGTCTTCCCTGTTGCAGGGTGTGCAGACTTGCCTTCCTACTGCAGGAGGACATGGCCTGTCCCAAAGCTGGAGCCTTTTCATGTCCGGGTGGTTGGGCAAAGTGGACAGGCAGGCACAAACAGCGGCAGATGTTTGAAAAAGATGTTTGGTGGGCCGCAAAGAAGCCTATGCAGATGTTTCTGTAGTAGCCCCCAGGTGCATAAAAGGCCACCCATTCCACCCAATGACCCTAACACTGTTCCGGTTTCCCCCCTCAGAGGACGGGATCGTGATCAAGACGGAGGAAGAAGAGGAGGAGGAGGAGGACCCCGACACTCTGGAGCCATGTGACATGTTCTCAGGCAGGAGTGAGCCGCCGGCATTCCCCAGCCACGAGGCTGGGCTGGGCTGTGAGGCACAGTGCAGTTCCAAAACACAGCCCAGGAGCCTGGTGGCCACCCGCGTGAGGAAACCGCCAACGTGCGAGAGGGACTCTGGAGACATGAAGCCAGCTGTCGCCCAGCAGCGGAACCGGACAAGGGAGAGACCCTACATTTGCCCCGAGTGCGGGAAGAGTTTCATGCTCAAGATCAACTTCATGATCCACCAGCGCAACCACCTCAAGGAAGGCTCCTATGAGTGCCACGAGTGCGACCTCAGCTTCCGCAACAAACAGCAGTTCCTGCTGCACCAGCGCAGCCACACGCGCCGGGGTGTGGAGGTCCCCCGGCGCCCTGAGCACGGTCTCAAGCCTCAGCCACGGGCTCCACCTCCGGGGAAGCCCTACAAGTGCTCTGAGTGCGAGAGCAGCTTCAGCCACAAGTCGAGCCTCAGCAAACACCAGATCACCCACGTCGGGGAGCGGCCTTTCACCTGTGGCGAGTGCCGGCGGAGCTTCCGCTTGCAGATTAGCCTCATCATGCACCAGAGGATCCATGCCGGCAAGAATGAGATGGCCTTCCTCTGTCCCCAGTGCGGGAAGAATTTCACCCGGCCCTCCCACCTCCTGCGGCACCAGCGGACTCACACCGGCGAGCGGCCCTACCAGTGCAGCCAGTGCGAGAAGACCTTCAGCGAGAAGTCCAAGCTCACCAACCATTACCGCATCCACACCCGGGAGCGCCCACACGCCTGTGCCGTCTGCGGGAAGGGCTTCATCCGCAAGCACCACCTCCTGGAGCACCAACGCATCCACACGGGCGAGCGGCCCTACCACTGCACCGAGTGCGGCAAGAACTTCACCCAGAAGCATCACCTCCTGGAGCACCAGCGGGCGCACACCGGCGAGCGGCCCTACCCCTGCACCGAGTGCACCAAGTGCTTCCGCTACAAGCAGTCTCTCAAATACCACCTGAGGACGCACATGGGAGAGTGAGGGGCTGCTGACGGCTTCCTCTCCCTCCCTTTCTTCCCTCCCTGCCTACTTCCCTCCCTCCAGCCTTCCCCTTCCTTCTCCATTCATCTCTCCCTCCTTCCTTCCATCTCCCTTCCCCCAGCTCAGGGCATGGACATCAAGGAAGCTTTGTGTGGTAGCGCCGCTGCTCTGGTGGAGACGGCTAGGCTGATTGGAAATAAATTAATTAATTAAAGCAAGCGATGTGCGGCAAAGTGAAAAGATTAAATGTATGTATACAATTAACAGAAGCAGTTGGTTTAGGGGGAATCCTCACCATCAGAAAAAACACAAAGGCAAGCAAACCACCAACAAAAAGAAACCTGTACAGGGTGTTTTGCCGGAGTAGGACTCTTTAACTGCTTTTTAAATCTACTGTTTGGTTTTCTAATAAATGTGGAGGAACTGGTTTTTTTTTTTTTGATAAGCAAACTTAGGATGGCCAAGAGGATTTTTTGGTTTTCCTTTTTTTTTGTTTTTTTTTGTTGTTGTTTTTTTCAATGCTCTATAGGCTAATTCTGGCACAGTCACTTTTTGTCCAGGAGATCTGCAGAGATGTTGCCTCGTCCCAGCTTTCCAGGCTGGACGTGACAGCCGCTCAGCAGCACGTGGATACAAGGAGCTCCCAGCCAGGGGAAGGTGAGTAATAATAGATCCAGATGATGAGGAAGTTCTCCGTGTGTCTAGATTGGAAGCACTGATTGGTGCCTGCCCAGCTCTTGAGGCTGTGATGCACTCCTGAGTTATACAGTAGAATAAAATACTAGTTGCAGTAAAAGAACCTTTTTCTGGTAGGACCCCATCAAGCCAGGCTCCTCCAAACTCTCATTTGTAGCACTTAATCCTTCCACAGCGGCAGATGTCTCGATGAGTGGTGATCCAGGTGCCCAGTTCTCCTGCTGCCATGGAAGCTGCGCCGAAGGCATCTCGATGCTGGAGCTGTGGGTCTTGCCGCGGGGTGCTGTGGGGTCACGATGTACCTGGGCACAAGGCCTTGACATGTTTAACCTCTCTTCTGCTCTCTTTGACATACGCTGTGGCAAGCAGGCTGCCCTTGCCCATGCCAGTGACATCATCCACACACTCCTCAGTGGCAGGAGCAGTGGGACTCTTGCCCCAGGCAGAGGAGCAAGTCCCATGCTGGCTTCAAGAAAAGCCGTGGCCAGCTTGGGGCTGCCTGTGGGAGGCCTCCCAGCTCCCAAGCACTTGCTGCCAGGGTTCCTTGCCATGCAGCTGTGGCTGTAGTCACAGTGGCAGGGACATGGGTCAGCCTCCTGGCTGTTGGTTTGAGTGCCCGTCTCCAGCAGCTCAGTTCTCCATGGCCCTGGTTTATCCTCATCACAGCTCCTGTAGCTGGGTGAGATGCACCCCAAGGGCAGGGCCATGGCTGAGGCAGTGACACCAGCTCCCTGGTGCACACTGGGCCAACGGGTGCTGTGGGGAGAGCGGTGTCGGATCTCATGTTGGACAGTGGCATCAATAAACAGAGCGATGATGGGATAAGTTGTTGGGACCTGTTAATGCCTTTGTAGAATCAAGAGTCCTCACTCCAGGGCTTTCTGTGTGTATGAACCCCTCCTAAATGTGTAATTTACAGCCTCTTCCATGCTGGGAAGTGTCTGAGGGCAGTGCAGCCACATAGAGTGCACCGGCTGGTCACCATTGTGGAAAGGAGCATTTTGGGGCTGCCAGGGCGGGATCCAGCTGAAGTTTCTGCATTCCCTTTGCTAAAGTTATCCCTGAGGCTCCCTGGGAGCAGTTTGGAGTTTCAGTTCATGGCGTGTGGTCTGACATGGGTTAAATGTGTGCTGCAGTGGGGCTGGATGTCCCAGAAGGAGGTGCTGGTGCAGGACTGGAGAGCCTGGCTGCCGCTCCTGGACCCTCAGCAGCTGCCTGCATCCCCCTCATCAGGACTAAATGCAATTAGAGGGAACAGAGAAATTAAAAGCAGAACTGACTCTGTTTCTCAGCAGCTCATGTTCATCCCACTGGCAGTGTCCAACACCCACAGTTGTGTCCTTTTTTCTTCCTAAAAATGGATGGATTCAACTCTTTCTGCCAAAGCAGGCACTTGGGTGTTACGGCCAGCCTGGGCAGCCTTGGGGATGGGCAGCCCCCTCCTTGCCCCGACATGGCAGGGCTAGCAGTGCCTGTGCACTGCTCCGTGTCACTGGTCCCTCACACAGCAACTGCTCTCCCCCTGGTGCTGCTCCTTGCCTGTCACACACAGCATCAGTTGCTGGACATTGCCAGGATTTAAGAACATCCAGGTGACCTTCAGCAGCTCAAATGTCAACAGCCCATCTGCAGGCACAGCTCCCACACTGGGGGGGAACAACACACCCATTGCAAGCCCTTGGGGTGGCGGCAGCACTGGAAAAAACACAGAGGTGGCAGTGCTGCAGGGCACAAACCTGGGGGTGGCATGAACCACAGGCAGCCTCACCACTACACAAATCTTTGTAGAATCAGAGAACAAAGGATTGGGTTGGGTTGGGACTTCAAGGCTCATCCAGTTCCAACCCCCTGCCCCAGGCAGGGACACCTTCCACTGGACCAGGTTGCTCCAAGCCCCATCCAACCTGGCCTTGAACACTGCCAGGGATGGGGCAGGCACGGCTTCTCTGGGCAACCTGTGCCAGGGCCTCACCACCCTCACAGGGAAGAACTTCTTCCTCACATCTCACCTTCTGTCAGTTTAAAGCCATTCTCCCTTGTCCTGTCCCTTCCTGCCCTTGTCAAAAGCCCCTCTCCAGCTTTCTTGTTGGCCCCTTTAGGCACTGGAAGCTGCTCTGAGGTCTCCCCTGGGGCCTTCTCTTCTCCAGGCTGAACAAGCCCAGCTCTCTCAGCCCGTCTCCATAGCAGAGGTGCTTCAGCCCTTGAAACATCTTCATGGGTTGATCAGTCAGAGCCATCTGCAGGTTACTGGCACCCTCTGTGTAATTGCAGTTGAGTTAATTTGGGCAGTGCTGGATGCTGCACAGTCCTCTGCTAAACCACCACTCCACTATGGGGGTTAATGGCACCATCCTGTAGGAGGACCAGTTATTCAAGGGCTCATGTCCCCATAGGTTTGGCCTGGTCATGGTTGCCTAGCCCTTCCTGACACAGGGTGCTAGAGGGAGCTGGATGCTGCTGCACTGAGAAGGCTGCAGCCCTGGGGACAGGGGACAAGCAGGATGCACCCAGCACACCACAGCCCAAAGGCTGTCACCCTGGGATGCTGCAAGGATGGATGGTGAACAGAGGGATGAAAGCACCATGCGGAGCCCACCACAGCTGCCAGGATGGAGTGTGGGACCTGCTGTAGTGGGGAAGCAGGCAGCTGGGTGGCAAACAGGCTTTTGTCAGGGCAAGAGACATGTGGGGAGGGGGCTGCTTGACCACTTCATTGCCCAGCTGCCATCAGCACATCAGGGACAAGTGGTGAAGGGCTCAAGGGGCTCTCAAGGGCCCTCTTCTCTAAGCACCTGTTTCAGATGTTTTGGGGTGAGAGCAGAGACATTAGGAGCGCTGGTGGTGGCCATAGGCTGCAGGGACAGAAGCTGGAGCATGAATGCACCCCCACCCCAGGGCAGCAGCTCAGTGTGGTGGGATTTCACGCCTGCAGCACACAGCGAGGCAGCCAGTGCAGGGATGTGGCTCATGGGCCGGATTACACCCAGCTCCCTCACGTTACAGCTGCTGCGCTGCAACAATCCCTTCAACTGCATTAAACCCCCAACCCTGGCAGGCGGGAAGCAGCTCCTGCAAGCATGAGGCCTCCTCAGGAAGGACCCTGCTCGGCACCTCCAATCGGTGCTTATAAATGACTACATTTATTGACACAGCCAGAGCAGCTGTGCTGGCCGGTAGCACAGTGCCAAATGTGCCGGCTTGCAGCCCTGTGTACCCAGGAGGGCTCCAACTGCTCCCAGGAACTCCAGTGAGTGGTTCTTAAATGATTTATGTGCATGCATATACACAGACACACATGGATGCACATGCCCATGTATGCACACACACATGCAGACACAATACATGCACATGCACGCTCACACACGTACATGTACACACGCATGTAGAGCTATACACATAGAATCAACTAGGTTGGAAAAGACCTTTAAGATCATTGGATCCAACCGTTACCCCAGGACTGTCAAGACCTCCACTAAATCATGTCACTGAGGGCCTCGTCTACACGGTTTATGAACTCTTCCAGGGATGGCGATTCCACCACTTCCCTGGGCAGCCTGTTCCAATGCCTGATTACCCTCTCTGTGAACAAATTTTTCCAATATCCAACCTGAACCTCCCTTGGAGCAGTTTGAGGCCGTTTCCTCTTGTCCTATGGCTTGTTAGTTCAGAGAACAGACTGATTCCCAGCTCACTATAACCTCCTTTCATGCAGTTGTAGAGAGTGGCGAGACTTCTGCAATTGAGCCTTTTCCTCTCCTAAACAACCCCGGGTCCCTCAGCCGCTCTGCACAAGACTTGTGCTCCAGACCCTTCACCAGCTTCGCTGCCTCTCTCTGGACCCGCTCCAGCACCTCAAAGTCTTTCTTGTGGTGAGAGGCCCAACATGTACACACATATAGGTATGCACACAGACATGCATGCACAGACACACAGGTACATGTACACAGACCCATGCAGACACACACACACGTATGTACACACACGTCCCGGTACCGATGCGCGCGCGCGCGCACACACACACACACACACACACACACACACACACACACACACACACACACACACACACACACACACACACACGCATGTGAACACGCACGCCTCACCGCCCTCCATCCCCTCCCGGGGCCCCGTTAGCTTTCGGCACCGCCCGCGCCCCGCCCTGTCCCTTCCCTCTTCCCCCCTCCGGCGCGTCCTTCCCGGAGGCCGCAGAATGGCGCGGGCCGTGCTGGCGGTGAGCGAGAACTTGGTGGAGGAGGCCACCTGCCCGCTGTGCCTGGAGCTCTTCCAGGAGCCCGTCATCACCGACTGCGGGCACAGCTATTGCGGGGCCTGCCTGGCGGCGCTCATGGGGATCCCGCCGCGCACCGTCGACTGTCCGCAGTGCCGCGCCTCCGTGGCACCGGCCTCGCTGCGGCCCAACCGCTCGCTGCGCTCCATGGCGCAGCTGACGGAGGCTCTGGACAAGGCGCGGCGGGCCCACTGCCCGCAGCACGGCGAGCTGCTCGGCCTCTTCTGCGAG